AGACTGATATTGTCTTCTGGCAGAGGCAAAGTCATCATTGCATGTTATTATGTAAGAGCAGAGCGGAAACACAGCTTAATGAAAAAGAGGTTTTTGGAAAAGCCTGAGAAAGTATTTGAATCTATCAAATAAATTAAATCTATCATTGTTTTTTAATGCCTGTGCCACCGCTCTGTGAAAAATACACTGTAAAAGGAATGTCAGTGTTTTCTCGAACGTCATCCATCGCGGCAAAGACAAGTCGCTGAGATGTTTTAAATCACAGGGAAACAAGGACACGAGGGGTGCAAGGGGGGGATGGCACGACATTCGAAAACATCTCAGTGACTGTATTTAATCATTTTAAATTCAGCGAACTGTCACTTATGAGACGGCGGACCAGGAATCTGACGAATCATTCAAACATTCATCTTCAATAGACATGAAACAGGTAGCAGCGCGGTGCAGCGACCTTTCCAAACAATGAATTTCATTAACATTTCAACATGTTAAAGTGATTTTTTTTTTTTTCATACTATTTCGCTGTCAAGTCGCATTTTACGAGCAGTCAAAACACAATCTGTGCCACAGTCAGGAGTGCTTCTCGTATCGTCCTGTCCGCTCCAAAACTTGAAATAGAAAAACAGACACTTGACACAATTACAAAAAAGATTAATCATTTTAAAACCGGCTCTTTCCTGTTGCCACCTCACTGCTTGGATTTTCGGTTTACTTGGAGAGTCACGACCATTAATAAAGTGTTAGCAGCGTTGGAGGTGAGCGGCAGAGATTGTGTGTCTGTGTATGAAGGTGTGTGTGTCAGAGAAAGTCTGTCTTTGTGTCTTTTTTTTTTTTTGTCTCCATTTGCTCCACTCACAGCATGTGTATTTTATAATTAGGACAGACCTACTTTCCTAACTAGTTTAATGTAACTAAATTAAAAAACATCACATTACATGAAAAGTCTGTTGTTTAGCCTAATGCTTTTAAAAATAGCTGAAGCAAAGAATTAACACACCGTCAGATTTTGCTCTGGGTTCTTGTCCCTCAGAGCTAAAGAGCCAAAAAAAAAAGAAGCATTTTCTCACTTAACTTGGTACCTAGCCATGCAGATAATTTGTTTTTATTTGTCCAGGTTTTCAGATTTCTGGCTCTGAAATTTCAGATTCAAGTCAGCAGCAATTGAAACTGATACTCTGGATAATCTCCAGCCCTCACTGTTCAGTCATGCTGCTTTGTACCAAAGAAAAACTGTAACTGGCCTCTGGATTATTGAACTTAACGAGGACACTGATTATAGAAAAGAAACATTATTGTTTTTAAAACTTGATTAAAACTTGCAAAAATTAATTTGTACTGAAGTGAAGGCAGACATCTCTGCACAGGTGAGAAAACATGTTCTTTAATTTGGGTGAACTGACCCTTTAAAGCCCAGAAGCGGTGCATACAGCATTATTAAAAAAGAACAGACAGTCCACCATCTTCCCACAGTTTGTGCTCAGAAAATGCGTGTATAAGCACACACACACACACACGCACACACACACAACACACACACACTGACGCGAGTGTTATTAATATCTAGGTGTGCTTCCCTCTGGAGAAGAGCCTGCTCAGCATGTGTGTGGCATTTTATGACAACTGCAGGAAAAAAAAACTCCATCATTTGCACCTAACCATCTGTATATAGTGTCTTCCTCCTGTCTCGGGTGAAAACTAACTGTAAATGTCAGCACAGGTTAAAACGCTGACTACACCATGACGGAGCACCTGTGCGCCTCCTCTCTCTCCTCCATTAATAATGCATTGGACGGACCGGGCCCAAGTCCCTATAATCACCTTGTTTGGAGATGGTGATTTATTACGAGAGGATAAAAAAAAAATAGACAAGAAAACACAGGAAGTGCTACTTATAAAGGCTACAGAGAAGCATCTGTGTTTCTGTGTGCCCTGCTCACGAGTGCATTCATGCATGTCCGTATGTAGATCCGTGCCTGTGCTCCAGTGTAATTCCCATCAAGCGTGAATATTCACGTGAAAGCATCGACTGGCCCTGCCGATGCAGTATAGATCTGGTCCGTTTTCGCAACAGCACTCGTCAAAGTCCACGTCACATAAAATATAGGCCGAGTGTCTGCGCACATGCGTGTCTGCGTGGGCCTGTGAGTGCGCCATGAAAGTGGGAAAGGCTGTCATGAGGGAGATAGTGAGAGGAAAGAGGGAGCATGTGTCTCTCCAGACTCACTGATAGTAATTTAGCAGACTGCAGCACTGCAGAGAGCGCTGGAGTTGAGAGCAGGGAGGGGGCGGCCAGTTGTCACACACAGAAACAATGACAAAATAAATAAATGAAGTGTTTCATGTGGCACAGTAGTCATGGAATTCACCCAATAATGCACACCGGTTTACCATTTCCCCCCATCCATCATGATGAGCATATACACAGTTAACCAAACCTGCTTGTCCGTCTTTAAAAATCAAATGTGAGCACAGAGAAACAGAAAAACAGGGGTGCATTTGTGTAACAGCTGTGGCTGCCACTGGACGCTTGACATTTCTCCGAAGGCTGACTCATGTTTTGTTGCTGCGTTTTAGTATTGGTCACACATAACCTTTCTGTTTGTCATCGTGAACAGAAAAGTATGGAAGGATGGTGGCGTCTAAGGTGGTAAACAGGCCTAATTAATGTCAGTAATTCACATATCATAGCCTCGGGGTAAATAAACAGAGAATTCTCAACATTTTTCTTGAAGTTCTCTTAAAATGAAACAAAAAACAGTAGGTAGTAAAAGGGTTTGGAACTGATCTTTGACAGGTGTAAAAAATTATTCATTCCATCTCACAAGCTATTTATAATCAATTCCAAGCTTTGTTTTTGACACGAAGCCGAACAAAACTGCAGGGAATAGTTTCGGGATGCTGTTGCTGGCCCAACCTTGTCGAATGTTGTTTGACAAAAAAATATTCCTTTAACTTCCCCCTGACTGAAGTTGAGGCAAAAAGGTATGATATGATGGATGTCACCAAAAAACGCCAGTGAAGGGGAACAAAAACAGCCAATGAAAAGAGATAAATAACTGATTTGAAATAAGCTTTTAAAAAAAAACAACAAAACTCTCTGAAATGTGTTTTTCCCATGTGCCTCATTTATATTTACTCCCTGCGTTCAAAGTGACTGAGAACAGGCAGAGCTGTCACCGGTTGACAAACGGTGAACCGTGTTACCATTCAAGGAATCAACCTCACAAACATATTTTCCCTTCGTGTAGCCCCCCCTGACCCTCCACCTGTGCGCTATTTTGACAGAGTTTAACGTAATGACACAAACAATATGCATTTCACGCCCACACGCGGCGCACATACGAACGCCACACACACACACACATACACACACACACACACTAACACACACAGTGGGACACAAATGCTTACATATGCAGGAATCTAAAAATAGCTTAAGGTCGGGCATTAAAAATAGACCAGGAAAATAAAAGCAGGACTCGTTCGACTGAGTCTAAATGCTCTGACAGTCTGTCTTTCTGCATTTGGCTATTTGTGGTGGACGCAGGCAGACAGGGAGAGAGAGAGAGAGAGAGAGAGAGGGGAGAGGCGCTGGAGATGAAAAGACGGCGAGCAGCAGTGAGTTGCACTGCAGTTCTGCTGCCTCTCCAGCTGGCTCCCCGGCTAATTAGAATGGGGGAGAGCACACATGGAAGAGGAGGAGGAGGAGGAGGAGGAGGAAGAGGAGGAGGAGGAGGAGGAGAGCGAGCATGAAGCCCACATCATTTTCAGCTGTACATGCTCCTGTGGTCAGAAATGCAGCTCTCTGCCGCTCCCTGCCCGCCCTTCAAAATCCAGCTATCTGGATAATCTGATGTGACATGTTGGGTAATGGACTCCTCTTTAGCTTATGGAGCATTTTTGGACATTTATCTCAGAAACCTGCCAAAAAAAAAAAAAAAAAGAAGAAGAATTAAAAAAAAATAAAAAGCCCGGACTCAAACTAAACTGAGCTCCGTCCCCTCCAGCTGTTTCACTGACCCACTGTAATACACTGAACTGTTAACATATGAAGGATGAAAGGTCAATTGTTCAGAAATAATTAGACACAGGCAGTAATTTAACCACAGGCGAGAACGGCTTCAGCTCAGCAGATGTAGAGGAGGAAGTGTCCAGGAACATAACTTATGTTAATGATACGTTTTTATCCTCTGTCATAATTCATCTTTAATCATAACACCTGCTTTGTGTTAACTGGGATTTGAGTCAGTTTAACACTTTATGTTTTTCTCTGTTTGCATGCTGGTGCTTCATGCAAGACTAAATATGCATTTTTCGTTTGGGCTTTAGTTTTCTATGCGTTTGATAGGAGAAAAAAAGTGCTGCAATCATCAACGTCATCATCTCACGCTGATGTGTTGTGTATAAAATCTTAATTTGCGCCGTAAGGTAACAATTTAAGTCCCTATGTTTAATATTCATACATAGTACAGTACATAAACATTTAATGAATGTTTTTTAACACTTTAATTTAGCTGCTTTAAACAGCTTTAAGTGGTTATTTATGTACTTGTTAACCACAATATCTACTCCTGTGGGCAGTACGTAAATGAATAATACAAGATTTATATTTGTAGGATAGTGTACAGATAGTGTACATTAATACAGCTACTTTAGAGTTAGTCAGAAATGCTTAGACTGCTCGTAAATATTTAATTGGGGGACTTAATTTTGTTTAAAAAGGTATATTTTCTTTTGAAATATTGTGCAGTGGAAAATAAAATGGAAAACATACAGTCAAATACAAGTAATTTGCTGCACTGCTTAACCAAATTGCCCCATCAATCAGGATGATGCTATTCCTCACTCACACACATCCGCATAGATCTCACTACGACTGCATGTGCACATGCATGCCCACACATCACACCCTTTCTTCTCATTGTTTATTTTTAAGCTTGACAGACGGCCTCTTTTTTCTTTTTTTTTTCTCGTAACCTTCTGATTTTTGTCTTTCGCAGGAACCTGGGAAAGTCAGGCCTACGTGTTTCCTGCCTCGGGTTAGGTGAGTTGGTTTTGAAGGCAGGGGAAATATTCATTTCTGTTTCAAACCGTCAAACAAAGCAACGTGTCTGTCTGTCTGTGCTCCCGTTCAGGCACCTGGGTGACATTCGGATCACAGATCTCTGATGAGGTGAGAGCTCTGTTGTTTCTCTGTGTGAGTGGCGGATTCTCCAACACTCGTGCAGCTTTTGTGGAATGCTTTATTTAAAAAAAATGCAAATCTCAGTGTTATTCAATTACAGAAATGTTTCAAAAGCCCACAGACCTTGAAACTATAGTAGCTCGGTGAGACACTGCACTGTATTATCCTCCCTGCATAGTGCCCTTCACGAATGACCTCTGGGTAATTGGAATTTATCCATCGTCTCCCTCTCTCAGTCTCAATTTTTGTGTTCCCTCAGATGGCTGAGAACCTGATGGCCATAGCTTATGAGAACGGAGTGAACCTGTTTGACACGGCGGAGGTGTACGCCTCCGGAAGGTCAGGCTTCACTTTCTCCTTCCAAAGCCTCAATTAAAACTTTTTCTTCTTGTAGAATGTTTTCTTTTCTTTTTTTTTTTTTTTAATATCTCTTCCTCTGCTTCATAACCTTCAATTTCTCTCTGGAGACAAATGAACAAGTTAGACAAGAAAGCGCTTCTAGGATTCTTTAGCATGTGTTTTGCAGATTCAATATTGTTGCGCAGCGATCTCTAAGTTAGCATCAATCCATCACAGTCAATGATGTGTTTCTCCACAGGGCGGAAATCACTCTGGGGAACATTATCAAGAAGAAAGGATGGAGGTGATAATGCTCATTTTCTCCCGCTGACTCACATGCATGTGAAAAAAAAAACTCCATTAGACCCCAAATGTTTTCTGAATAATCCCTAATAATCCCCTTTCTGAAGTAGACGGCGTTGCTGCATGTGTTTGTTACTGTTGGAGGAGGAATGCCATTAAATTATCTCATGGGAGACTCGGAGTTTTTAGAAAAATAAAGTGCTTTAGAGACAGAAGGCTATAAAAGGGTAAAAATGTTTCTGTGTGGAATTAAACTCCCAGACCATAATACTGGGTGCAGCAGCAGCAAAAAAAACCCCACATAATAGTCCAAATATGTATTTTTTTTTTTAAATCTATGAGACTGAAACTAACATGCAAAAGATTTCCTCCCTTGAATTCTGTGTTTCTAATAAAGCTGTGCTCATGATTGTGTCCTTTTTAGGCGTTCAAGTTTCGTCATCACAACAAAAATCTACTGGGGAGGCCAGTAAGTACAGCCCTAAAATATGACATTCTATATGTTTTTTTGTAAATATAACATCAATAATGTGTATTTTCATTCCTCCACAGAGCCGAGACGGAGCGAGGACTCTCCAGAAAGCACATTATTGAAGGTAAGGTGTCATCAGCTATTTACCCAAAACTATTTAACATTTTAAAAACCATACAGCAAATTAAAGAGGTTCAGTTTCCAGCTTAAAAAGTGCCGAGTTTGAATGTCTGCTTCCAGTCTTGGTACATGTGTTCCTACAGTACAGAAAAGGATTGAGGCCACAGCTTAACACATGTTTCCAGATCAATTGTAGTTTATTGAGATGTACTGCATTTTTATTGTGTATAAAATGTCTCCCGGAGTGAATCAGTTCAACCGCTGAACAGACAGTCGCAATGAATCATTCGGTGTCCCCGCTTTTGTCATTTAAAGCCACTCCATGTTACATGTTGCAGTAAATACGTCAACGGGCCATAAAATCAAATACATTTCTACGTTTCACAGCAGCTAATGAAAAAAAAAAAAAAAAAACACTCCTCGGGTGGAGCTGTGAAGTTAGTGGACTGGTGCTTGTAAGATATGAGGATTTGACATGAGACTTTGAAGGAGTCGAACGCAGATGCAGATGAGTTTTGGATGTTTCGGCGGATTGTCATGTGTGCGGATCGAGGGTCAGCTGAGGAAACGTGGAGAGACGGGCACAAATAACATCTCAAGATTGTTGTTTTCCAGCCACTTAATCAGTCCACCCTCCCAGAAATAATCCTAAGAGGCTATTGGCCTTGTGTACGGTCAAATTCTTTGTTTGTTTTGTAAACAGCAAGGCCTTGGGGTGACCATTTACCGAGGAGCTGAGTGGGTTGATTGACCATCATTGTCATGAAGCTTTTGTATTTGAGGTCATTGCGTAATGAGTGAACTTTGCTTTTAAGATTTGCGGGTCGTGCAGGGACACGGCGCTCGTATTTGGGCTTCATGCGGTTTTTCATTTAGGTTGGAAAGTTGGCACACAGCAGCCTGATGCAGAAAATGCAACGTAAAACAGTTTTGCCTTGGAGAATAATGTGCTTTTATTGCTCTCAAGTGACTTGTTGGGACTCTCTGTAGTTGTTTAGATGCTGTTTCTCCATGTATTCCTACACTTCAAACTGAAAAAGGATTGCTTTCTTTTTACCCCATCTCCAGCGCAGCTCTGTCGATGTTAATGCCACTCGGTCGGTTGGTTAATCCACCAATTTGCTTCAAAGTGAAATAGCTCAACAACAATTGGACGTACTCCACAAACCAATGTGCAGACACTCATGGTGCCCTGAGGATAAATTCTAATGACTTCAGTGCCTTTCGGTTTGCGCCACCATGAAATTCACTGGTTTTGAGTGTAATATCTCAAAAACTATTGGCCGGATCGCTGTGAAACTGGGTGCACACATTCGTGCTCTCTTCAGGATGAACTATGTAAACTTCACGCTTCATAGAGCATCAAAAATATCTGAGCTTCAGATCAGTTATCTAGAAAACTGTTGCCATGAGCACATAAACAAGGTCAACATTATCCCCGCTACGCATCAGCATGCCAAGACACCGCTGTGCTTTACTAACTACCCAAAGTCCAATAATTAACTGTTGTTTATTGCAGGTTTAAGAGGATCATTATCAAGACTCCAGTTAGATTATGTGGACATAGTTTTTGCCAACAGAAATGATGTCAACAGTCCAATGGAAGGTTAGTTTCAGAGGTTTGAATTGCCTGCAAATCTGGTCGCTTTGTATGGTATTTTGTGCCTTAAAGCGATCAAAATAATTTTATGTGTGTGCAGAGATTGTACGGGCCATGACGTTTGTAATAAACCAGGGCATGGCCATGTACTGGGGAACCTCCCGCTGGAGCGCCATGGAAATCATGGTGAGTGCTGAGCTCCCATTCTGAAAGTCTCACTCTTTCACAAATTTAAAGCCGTCAGCTTTTCTGCACAAATGCTGATCTGTAACCGCGGCGTTTTGTTTCTATCTGTTTGGCACCAGGAGGCGTACTCAGTGGCGCGCCAGTTCAACCTGATACCACCTGTGTGTGAGCAGGCAGAGTATCACTATTTCCAGAGGGATAAAGTCGAGGTGCAGCTTCCTGAACTCTACCACAAGATCGGTGAGCATCCACAGTCCCGCGGCTCCGTTTGTCTCCCAAACTGGAGGTTTCATTTTGTTTCATTCACTCACTCTCGCTTCACAGGTGTGGGAGCAATGACTTGGTCTCCACTCGCTTGTGGATTAATCACAGGGAAGTACAGTGATGGGGTACCAGAGTGCTCCAGAGCTGCAATGAAGGTCAGTTTTCATCTGGAGTTTCTCTTCGTCAAAATCAACCCCAGTGTAATTCAATGCCATCTCAGTTGGGGTATTACAGTTTGGAATCGGTACTGTGTCAGTGATTTTCTCCATTTTGGTTCTGATGTAGGGATACCAGTGGCTGAAAGAGCGAGTGAACAGCGAGGAGGGCCGCAGGCAGCTCGCTAAAATCAAGGAGCTCCATCTACTGGCAGACAGACTGGGCTGCACTGCTGCACAGTTAGCCATCGGTATGACCCAGGCTAAAGGCCGGACTTTACAGCGTGGACACACACAGATTTATTCTCTGTTTATGTACTGAAACAAGGATTTAGATGATGTACTTTTACATATTTTTTTGCATCTTTATTGTGTCTGTGGTACTATCAGAATCATTAAACTATTGATTCAGTTTAATCAGACTGCGCACACAGAGGTAGAAAGGTCACAGAGACAGTTATGCAACAGACATGAGGTCAACATAGTGTGTCACAGTGTGTGTCTGTGTGAAGCCTGTTTACTCCTTATCAATGACCTTATTGGTCAATCACGCCCTTTTTCTGTTTTATTGAATAGCAATTTATTTATAGTGTAGAGAGAGAATGGCTTGTCCGTCAGATATGCTTCTCTGTTGACTATAAAATGTGCTGATTTGGAATCACTGTCCTGATATTTATGTAACTTTTAATTTGACCATTAGATTTACAACAGCAGCTTGTGATCCGATTTTGACTAAAAACAAAAAAGAAAACAAATCTTCTATTTTTCTTAGATTACTACAGATATCACAGAGTTTTACCTGAGCTTGAGTTTTATCAGTTTTCTCTTCTTTCTTACAGCCTGGTGTCTGCGCAGTGAGGGAGTCAGCTCAGTACTTCTGGGTGTTTCTAATACAGATCAGCTACTCGAGAACCTGGGTGCCCTCCGGGTAAAATTTTGTTCCTTTTTTTCTCCCACATCAATATTTTTGCCTCACATACTGAACCACAGTTGTTTCACAATGTGAACCCCAAGCAGTTTCTGGGCGTTTCTTTTTTTTTGCTCCTGACATGCTCACCGTGGACTAATTCAGTGCACTATAAAGTCCTGCACCTCTATGGAAACAGTGCAACCATGAATAGGACAGAGAACTCAAACATGTCCTCTGTGTAGTATGATATACATAAATCAGATAAATAACTAGAGATAGATTTCTTTGATTATTTATTTTACAAAATTATCAAAACTAATATCCTACAGTGCCTACAGGTATTACCAAAACTGGGGAAAAGGCTCTACATACTACGGATGTTTCAGTGCTTACGTTTTTATTTGTTTGCATAGTTGTCTCCTCTCTGCTCTGTGTAAACACAGGCTGCAGGTCAGCCCAGTTCAACTGAAAAGTCCCTGAATTTTTGCTACATGACTGCTGGTTGCATCTGAGTAACTTATGGACTCACAGTTGCACCGAAGAACACAGAATTTTTTGTGTTTACAGAATCTGGGTGGAGCGCATTGGTTTGTTTTTGGCAAATTTTTAAATGAGGCATGTAGAATGAAGGGATTTTGATGACAGATCACAATTTAAAGCTCAGATTTGGTTAAGTTTCCTGACAAAACTGCTTGTCACAGATGAGTATTTCAAGCACCCTTTCCAGCTCTGATAAATGATGTCATTTTGGCGATATTTGTAAAGACAACCCGCCTTTCAAACTTGCTGGTGGGCTTTGAAGTTCAGAGAATTAAACCAAAAGATCTGCTACTTTATGTGCAACACAACGTGACAACTGGCAAGAAAACAACAGTTTAAACTGATCGCCGTCTCCTCCCCATCTTCCTTTTTAGATTTTATCCCAAATGACCCCTCAAACCATCACCGAGATTGACGCCCTGCTGGGAAATAAGCCACACTCGAAGAAAGAGTCACGCGCTTGAAGATGCAAATCTGAGTGACAGATAACGTTTCGAGAAGATGAAGAAGACTAAGACATTGGGAAACATCGCTTTTTGCTCTGCTGTATACTCAACAACTTGCATGTCCTCAGCAACATTATGCTTCCAGTATGTGCGCATATCCATTTTGCGCAGTACATTGTATCATGTATGAAAAAAAAAAAAAAGAGAAAATCTCTCAATTGTGGAAAAAAAAACAAAACAACAAACGGATCATATATTGCTCACTGTCGATTGTTCACAAACTAATTATTTCTACACAGGGGGAGGCTGAAGCCGGTTAGACTGACAGGTCTCTGCCAACCACAGAAACCAAGAGAGCTTGAAAAATATTCAGCAGATTTGACTCTTCTTAATCAAATGTTTTAGGACAAAAAAAAAGGAAAAAAAAAACCACCTCTGTGCTAAAATGCAACTTTACTGCGTGAACGGTGCTTTCATTTGACATGTGAGTCTCCTCCCCTCGCAGCTGCCTGTAATTCTGTATGATGTTTAGTACCCAGCAGCCAGAGAGCCAAAGGTTAGCACTCATGTGTCTAGCCCAACATTTCCCATAGTGTGCATGTGACTGGTCTGCCACGCTCACTGCTTTACAGGGTTGGGAACAATGGATTACTTGTGGAGTCATTACACAGATCTGACTGTTAAAAAAAAAAAATCCTGATCCTTTCTGGTAAACATCAGATCACATGCTGTTATAAAAAAATAAAAAAAAAGGTTTAAAAGCACTAAGATTATGAGACAGCACTGAAATAATCATTGATTCTGGCACAAACTACTTGTGAAATTGGCAATCATAAATCAATAGTGGGGTGAAGATTTTGAAGGTAACTTTCCCAACCCTGCTGCTTTCTCAGCAGTCTTTTTGCCTCCTCTGTTTGTAAACTGTGCGCATGTCCCTTTAAGAGAGAATAGCCCCAACAGGGTGTAAATGTGGCATGGCTTTTATGGCTTATGTAGATTTGCAGTGCCCTTGTAAGCCATTTTTTTTACTCTAAATGGTCAGGCAGTTTGATCCAGGATCCGCGCTGCTGGGCACTCTTGCTTTAAAGACTCTCAGCAGTCTGTGTGTCCATCTGACGTATAATCTTTGTATTGTCCTACACTGTATCAAAAGATGTTGGCATCGCTTTCGATGATGTCCTGTGAAGAGCGTCATTGTTGTCGAATCGGAGGGTTTGAGACAGTCGGGACGTTAAGTGGAAAGAAAAAAAAGGTCACTATGATGGTCTGACACAAAGATTTGGACACACTGTGGTGAAATGAATGATAAGTCTGAGTTTATCAAATGTGATACAACTCTTGCCACAGGTCACTTGGGGTAAGATTTAGCAAATGTAATTTTTCTTTTTTTTTTCTTTTCTTTTCTTTTTTTTTGTGGAAGCCTAAAAATATAGCTTCTCTGCTCATTTCTCTGGGAGTTCTCTCTCTCTGTATTATTCATTCCCTTGATTCTCACACACATGCACGACGGATTTTATACTGTGCACTTCATGTCTTTTCCCCCTTTTAGTTTTGTATTGATTTCAATACTTTGTAATGTGAAGAGGCGGGGGGCGGGCGGGGAGGGTTTGTTCCTTTTTGTGATTTCCCATGAAAACAGCACTGATCTCCAGGTCGAAGCTTTTTTGATACATGGAGTTGTTTCAGCCGGCACAAGGTTACATTGTACTGTATATAGGCTTATCTGTTTGGCAGTGACACGACGCGACAAGGGTTCGGTTCATGAAAGCTTCCCTGAAGGAGCGGCCGAAACATCGACCTCCTCTGTGACTCTGTGATGATGACCGAGTGTAGCTTCCAGTGTACATACAGTAGATACTTCAATCAAACCTTGAAAATGTAACTTTGCCTGCATAACTTATTTTACTGTCTTGCAACAAAGAGAAACCAAAAAAAAAAAAAAAAAAAAACGAGAGAAAAGAAACAAGAGACAACTCATATTGAATGTATCATGTCTGTTGCTCAAACCTATTTAAGGGACAAAGCACATAAGCATATTTCACAGGCTGTTTTCTTTTTGTGTTTGAACCTGTTACATAAAAAAAAAAGAAAAATAACCCACAGTGCAGTCATGCAAATATTTACATTGGGGGAAAGAAGTTTCACACTTCATTCTGATTCAATATGTGCTCACCTGTTTCTCAGTCAGATAAGACTTTGTACTTCATAACCTGAACATATAAAATGGAATAGCTTCATCACAGCTGTTATGTTGAACCTCACCTTCCACGTTAGGCCACCTTCCATGTTAATATTTGGAATAAACTGTTTATTTGTGTATATGTACAGGGATTTTAATTTATGAGTTGCATAGAAATAATGCATGACATACGGGCTATCACTATTACCCACAATGCTGTGAGATCTGGGATTAGAAGCACAACGCCACTTCTACTCTTCAACATCATGTGCTCTTATGGTGGGTTTTAGCTTCCTTGTGTTCCTTCTGTTCTCTTCAATGATCAACAAACTGTTGATAGACAGACCCACTTAAGTTAAAACTGTAATCACTTCAGATTTCTCATGCAGCAGCTCTTTCACAGCCTTATTGTGATTAAACAGTCGCTTATACAAACAGCGCTGCAAACATGCTCTTCAACATTCATAACTCAAGATAGCAGACGCTGACGGACTACATTCCGAGCGTAACGCGTACTTCCACAGCCTATCGAGCTTGATTGCTTCATTTCTGCGCCCACTGATGCTCAGACCTCCGTGCTGCTGCTGCTGCAGTAACACAACTGCTTTGCGATGTCTAGCAACAGGTAGCGAACACGGAAGAGTAGGAGCAGCATGACTTTATCTGCACAAGCTCCTTCGTGTTTCTCATTCTGGCAAAGAAATCTGATTAGTTGATCAACCTTTTAGGTAACATTTACGCTTTGTTTTGCACAATCACCCACTATATTTGCAATAAAGGCCCAAATCTACATAGCAAATAACTGCGAAGGCAATCAAGGTTTGAAAAATGGCACATTTGAATTTTTAACAAGTTGCATATCAAAAAGGTGCCAAATTTGCATTTAAGCGTGCAAAACTGGGGTATATTATGAAGTTTGGTTAGGAATGACTCTTGATTTACTTAATCAGAGTACGTAACTACCAAGGTGGATTCAAAAGACTAACACTCACTGCTTCATTTCTCTGCTTTTCCCTGCTTTAAAAAAAAAAAAAATCCAAACGCACACCACAGTCTGAGTGGACTCCTGTCATTCTCACGTCCTCCCAAATGTCTGGCAGCTCTTCGTCAGTGGGCCCCAGGGTCATTCAAATGGATGCAACAAGAACAATATCACAGCCGTGTGTCCGGCACGGTCTGTGCTGCTAAAAGAGCCGTGCCCGCTGGGACGCCACACACGCTTACCGCAAACAGAAAACATCTGTGACGCCAACACTGGTAGCCTCTCTTTCGCTGAACTCCCCGGTGTCATCAGACTGACAGATGAGACATATGTGCTGAAAAATGTTGACTGCCTCGGCGCCAACACTGTCAGAGAGAAGCAGGTTTCGCCACATGATTCATCCTTTGTGTGAAGAAGCGAGCTGGACAAGGTGATGAAAAACAGAGAGAAAGGAAGTGGCCAGTCGGCTGATAAGCACATTTGATATCTACAACCCCTCCCCACAGCTGATAAAACACATTTTATACCTTTACCTATATGTTGTTTTTTTCTACCAGTTAAAGTGATTAAATTACTGATTAGACCCGGTGCTGAAATCCCAAGGAGCCTGTTGCTGCTGTTGCTGAGCACCTGAGGTCACAGGTGTCCACTGAAATTTCCCATACAGCTGTAATTAGTATGAGCTGAGCACTCGTGCATTTACTGCACTTCACAAAATAACGATAACCTCTCGAGAATCTCAAATCCAACATCAGGATGTTGAGAGGAAACATGATTTGGAAAGGGGGTTCTCATTTTCAGTGGACTTCCCTCTGTAGCCAAATCCTGATGTCGCTCATTCCTCTTTGTTTTCGGTGTCCATTATTGACCAAAAACTATCTTAAATACACCCCATCACATAAGGTGGCACGTTCCTTCATTACTATTAACCGTAGTTCATTTTGAGTCTACATCATCCTTCTACTGTAAATACCCACTACGGCACCAAATGTGTGTTAATAGCTGAAAATAGTCCCAATGAAATGCACAATTTACTCCAGTTTGCTCCAATTTAAGGAAATAACAATGCCAAAATAAGTTTTTATAATCTATTTGAAAGATTTATGTTTTTTAGTGGGCTGCAATGTGGATTGGTGGTTAGCATTGTTGCCTCACAGCAAGAAGGTCACCGGTTTGCGTGGAGGTTGCATGTTCTCCTCGTGCAGTGTGGGTTCTCCGGCTTCCTCCCACAAGGTCCAAAAACATGTTGAGGTTCACTGGTGATTCTAAATTGTCCATAGGTGTGAATGTGAGTGTGCTTGGTTGTCTGTCTCTAAGTGTAGCCCTGTGATAGACTGGTGACCTGTCCAGGGTGTCCCCTGCCTTCACCCTAAGTCAGCTGGGTCCAGCCCCCCTGTGACCCTAGTGAGGATTAAGCGGTGTATAGATAATGGATGGATGGCTCTTCTGAGAATAATATCATCCTAATCATTATCCTTTGAAATTTTATCAAGGATTCATCGTTATTGTTCTTGATTAGTGCTTTGTTGTCATCAAGATCATTTTTGTGACTGTATTACTATTAATAATACTATATTTGTATTTGTTCATATATTGACTGACGACAGTGAGGTTATGCTCACAGCTGGGCTTCACTGGCTGATTTGAATTCATCAAAAACGTATGAGAGAGTAGAGACATATTATTTGTAAAACCTGAAAAATACAGTGTCCACATTCCATCCCTAAATAAAATGCTCCTGCTTGTCCTGAATTCATCCCCCGCTGTTTGCACATCTGCTGAATCATATTCAACTCCCCACAGACCGCTCTGCAACAGAAGTCCACGACATCATTTCAACATGCTGCAGCCCTTAGCCTCTGTCGGCTGCTGAGGGAATGAAATGCTCCCTATAGCTGAAGTGTTTTTCAAAGCTGCTTTGAAAACCACATGTGTGCCTCCCCTTTTCTTTTATCCCTTAACCCTGTTTCACAGTTGATTATTGTTTGTGTTGTCAGCCTGCTGTTAAAAACAATTATTACTGTAATTACACTGTAAAGAATCGAACCAAAAGATGAGTCAGGTGATCACAGGTTACTTTTATTTTCTACTAAAATACATGTTTCATGCAAGATTTTTGTCACTTTCCACAACAGAAACACAATTAAACTAGTGTAGTACCACCTCGAGGCTTTCTGCCTCACAACAATAGGCAAAGATGGATGTTTAAAGTCACTCATTACAATATTTTATGTGCAAATTCCTAATGGCTTTATAAATACTGAGTCGTCCTCTGCTGTTACATGCTTTCATTTGAAAACCAACAAGCCAATTGTATCTTGTCGAAACGCTGCACGTAATGAAAAACACTGAGGAAAAAAGCCTGGTCACAGAGTCATGCCAAATGTGCCGGAAAATAAATGATGTTACCAAGTGAGATATTGCTTTTGGAGATGAATGTAATAAAAATCTGTGTACAGTACAAAGTAGCCCAAATGCTTTTGATGGAATTCCTAGAAAGCATGTCCCTCTATGAATCCATCAGCTGTCTTAAAAACTCACAGATGCGGCTCAGTTTCATTGGTCTCTTCAATGATAAGCTGAATGTAAAAAAAAAAGGAAAGTTCACTGTTTCTCTCCAGTTTTGTTGGCAACTCCACGGCACCCATTGTGAAAAAGGTTGTGCACTGACAGGCTGCGCCACAGCGTTACGTTTAAACGTTTAAACAGCGGCGTAGAAGGCATATGTGAATCAGAGTATACTAAATGTAAAGGAGAGACTGAGCATGGAGGAAACTCTACGCTCTACTTTACAAGGCCTGCTATGATCGTCGTATGAAAATAAAAAGAGGTAGGCAAATTCTCTCCACTGCTCAGGAAACACTGACAGTTTAATAAGATGCAGAAATGGGTATGTAGTGCTTATCAAACATGCTACACACAAAGCCTGTTTTAAAAAATGACAGTCCAGCACAGCATGCTTAAAACAAACCATCCAATCTATTAAAAACTGTTTCCTTCCTTACACAGCTTGTTGCATATTGATAATATTAAGACTTGAATTACTTTCTCATGTAAACAAGGAGACAACAAAACACACGACTCATGCATGCATTATCATCTCCAGAATGTAGAACAATAGTAAACACAGACGGATGTTACTGCACAGCATATTTAGTGGCTTCGGCTTGGATTTTTCTTTTTTTTTTTTCTTTTCTTTTTTTAGGTTGCGGGAGAATGTAAGAGAGCTTTGTTAATACAGAAATAAAACAACCACAATTCAGCGCATCTTCTTGTCTCTCCTACTCCCTGTCTGCATGACATCATTAAGAGAAAACGACATGAACGCAATCTGCTCAAGTTCACTTTCTTTCCCGCACTCCATCAGGCACGAAAACTGATCCTTGTCCCCGTTGTAAGCCAGGTCTGAGTACCCGCTTGGTCCGCTGTGGACGATCCTGGGCCGGTCCCATCCGGATGAGTGCAGAGGAGATCGGTTCAAATACACGCCCATGTCCCTCCTGGTGGACTTGTTGGTCGGGTGCATGAAGAGGAGCCAGGTTTGCGTGTCTGGTGACAAGAGCGACGTGCCACAGGCTTTGCTTTCAGCGTCATCGTTTGGGACAAATTCAGGAGCAGGGAAGCCAATGACGCTGCCTTGACAGCCAGAACGTGGCTCAACCAGCTCTGAAGCCATGTGGGGCTTGTCAAAATACACGCCGCTGTTTTCACTCAGGGCCTCGCATCTGTGGCCTCCGGCATTACGGGCATTGCAGTAAAGATGACTCCTGCCCTCGTGATCTATGATCTCTGCCATTTCACACTCACATGACTTCTTTTGAAGCATCTTACCAATGCGCCATGTCTGTCCAAAGTCCTCGCTGTATACTGACAGAGCACGCGGGTAGACTGTAAAAGGGATGGGGAAAGAACAGCATCTGTAAGGGACGTAATAGGCGTAAGCGGGGATGATCAATCTGCCGTTCTCCAGCTGAACACCGTGGCCAGGACCCACAGCGAATGTGGCCCACTTGTGGATAGCTTCGCCAATCACGCTCTCTGTTAAGTCTCTCACTTGACTCCAAGTTTGCCCATCATCACTGCTGCTAACACAGCAAAGACGTGTCTTGTTCTTACCTGTGATGATCTGCTTACTCTCTTTTGTGTTTCCCCAAACAGAGATGAAAAATAAAAACAGAGTTTTGCTGTTTTTTTCAAAGACTGGGCAAGGATTCATAGTGCGGTGGTTTGGTAGGCATGCTGTCGTCAGCTCTTGACTGGATGACCACTGGAAAAACATAATAAAAGACAACGTTTAACAAGCTGATCAAATGTAATGTTGACAGGTTTTTTTTGTATTAAAGCAAAGACTTCTGTTGGTTACTGAGTGGAAATAATAACCTGAACAGATCCATCTTCTTTCAGCGTTCCTCTTTTCATCACAAGTATTTTGGCGTCCTGGTCACAGGGCGAGGATCTTTTCTCTGCAAAGGCGAGGAAGGTGTGACAGTGCCTCAGGTAGATGAGAGCAGGAATTCTGTATGTTATCCCACTTGGCTCCCTTTCAAACAAAGTTGTTTTGACAGGTTCCTCTCCGCTGCCACTCTTTGATGGCCTGTTTCCCATGGTGGATCAGAGTTCCTGTGAAGAGAACAGGTTCCAAATGCATGACCAGCCTTAGCTTGTTTGATAGTCTTGTTATAACAACCTTTAAAGCAGACTCACTGGAAGAGTTCACACTTCAGCAGCTCCTCATAGACACAGATGAGTGCATTGCTACCAACAGCGTATACGGTGCGTGCATGACAAAGCCCTTACCTTCACTTGTGTCTCTTCACATGTGTCACTCTTGATCTTTAGCATTATACCGTGTAATTGCAGGAGAAACCGGGGGACCTCTGATGTTCACGACACTGATGCTGGGGGTTCATCAGAAACGAAGGCGGGCGCGGAGACGAGAGACACATTCACCCTCACTTCCGTGTTCGCTTAGGCGCCGCTTCGACTAAACCAGACGTCGGGTTTACTGGCTTTATCTGCCGGAGCACCGGATATCCCGCTCGTTACGTGTGTCGGCATTTTATGGTGCCACACGGCATCTAGATAGTCCACAAGGTCGCCACTAATTGCAGGAGCGTTATCAAAACAACCCTCCCACCGCAGTAACGCCTCCCCGTTGCGCAGCTAGCTAGCTAACCGGGTGAAACGAACACCGCTCAGACGTAAACATGCCTCACCTCGTAACTATTTGCTCACGTTAAATAGAATAAAGTGCTGCGTAAATGTACCCTGGCACGTTTAATGTCTTTAAATACTTCAAGTTGGCTCGGCGGAGCACTATCTTATCAGCAAAGTTAATCTTTGATAAGCTCGGCTCACCGGTCTCTTCCGCTGTCGTGTGTGAAAGCAGCGCGACGTCGCCTCCTGCTGGACGGGAGGGGCAGCGCGCCTTCCCCGCTGTTGCTAGGATACAGAGCACCACACTGTGGATCAGATGTATCGGAGCAGCTCGGTTTGAGAACAAAAAAAAAGGAAAAAAAAGAAAGAAAAGAAAAGAAATGGACGTTTTTGAACTACTTTTAGCTTATAACAGCATGTCGCAACTTGTATAAGAGATCAATCGATTTCAATCAGGATGGCTTCAGGACACAATAAGTTTGCTGATGGGCAGAGATGTCTCACCAACTGTTTCCCAGCAGGGACTTTACACCGAAGAAGAAGAGAAGGTGAGTTTAATTATGTGTATTATTATTTATTATTTACCATTTCCAGTTAAAAAGAAAGATCATTCTAAGACACTATGATGCAGCAACATTCAGGAAAATAAGAAAAGATATCTGTCCAGTTCTACCTAAAGCTAAAGAAGTGTCATTTATAACGTAGATGACATTTACCCATCGAACAACTTCTTTATAAAAATGTAACTTTAATAATAACTCACATGGAGTCTGTGAAAGAGAAATTGAGGCAGCAGAGCATTTATTTTTCCATTGTGAGTATGAATTTTGGACATTTCAAAGTTGACTTCATTCAAAAAAATATCTCAATGCACCCTTTTAACATGTGCTTAATTAAAACTGATGTATTGTTAGAGGAGAAAAACTTTCTTTGAAATAACGTGATTCCAAACATTTTATTCATCAATGTAAATATGTAAAGACTAAACCCCATTTTAATGAATGGAAGACTGAACTCAGAACATTCCCAAAATCTCTTCACTATATGAAAAATAAAAATGCCAAAAGACTTTTCTCCTTGTTGGACTTCTTCATGTTGCTTCACTGACATCCCCATCTTAGTTTGTTATTTTGGTTATTCTGCTTGTTAATCCTTTATGTTGGTGTTCATCTTTTCTAAAGCTACTTCAACACTTTGAAAATGTCTGTGCAATGTTTCTACATGCCATGTTTTTTTTTTTTACATTTTTAAAGAGACCAATAAAGTTTATTAAAAAGAATAAAAATAAATTAGTTATTATTATCTTCCTTTGAGTTAAACTATTAGCCTACTACTGATGTAGAAGCCTCATATAATGCTGGGAATGCTGGGATGTACATACAGAAATGAAGAGATATTAATTTATCTTGAGAGAAACAAGTCAAAGAAATACTAATAGTCAATGCTTTATGATGTTATGTTCCCAGAAATGGAAGAGGGGTTCAAATCTTGTACCTAAATAAAAGTACTAATATCACAGTGCAGAAATACTCAGTAACAGGAAAGGCTGTGCATTTCAAGAGTTACTTAGCAGTATTTCAAAAAAAAAAAAAGAGAGAGAGAAAAAAGGGACTGAAAACTTTTCTTTTTCTTTTTAGGAGACATTTTAATCTTTAGAATCTTAGTGCCTTTTGGCTGTTGTGTTTTTACTTGTTTTTATGGGTTTTGATTCCAGTTGTAGCACTTTGAGATGGGTTTTTATAATGTAAAGTTTATATATATATATACAAACCCTAACCCTAACCCTAGCCCTATATATATATAATATTTATTATTTATATTTAAATACAGTCCATCCATCCATCCATTATCTATACACCACTAAATCCTCACTAGGGTCACGGGGGGTTGGAGTCTATCCCAGCTGGCTTAGGGTGAAGGCAGGGGACACCCTGGACAGGTCACCAGTCTATCACAGGGCTACACTTAGAGACAGACAACCAAGCACACTCACATTCACATCTATGGACAGTCTTGATGACAGATGAGGCAAATGTTTGAAATTCATCCATATTCAGTTGCACAGCAGTGAAGGCTTTTGCTCCCCAGGCTTATAGGAAAACAATAGATTCAGTAAATGTTTGATCCAGGACATTTGTCAGCAGAATATAGATCTTATTGGATTATGTAAATGATGTGTAATTTTAATGTTGTTGATAGTTTGCGCAATAATACACAATCAGTTCATCATTTTGGATAATATTCTAGCAAAAATGGCAAATTTTCACTTGTTCCAGCTTCTTAGTTGTGATGATTTGCAGCTTTTCTGTGTTTTATATGATTCACAGAATATCTTTGGACCGTCAATTGGACCAAACAAGTCATAAATATAGAAATATATTTCTACTATTTGTGGGAAGCGAGATAAAGAAAATAATATTCATTGATATGAAGATCACAGTTAGTTGCAGCCCTGTTGGAGTGTTCACTTTTGTGAATCTGCAAACAACATGTGCTGACATATTTTTACTCCTTTTTCTTGCCTTCAAGGTGCCGGTCATTGGCTTGTGGCCTACAGAGAGGCAGAGGAGCAGAGATACAGGAATGTGCAACGGAGAATAAAAGAGACTTATAAAAAATGTGAGCACACGTTGGCTGATGCTGCTCGCGGTGTCACACTAGATCGACTCTTCCTGGTAAGAAACTTGAAATCTACATCCGTCAGAGCCGTTTATCTGGCAGAAGACTGCAAAATCAGGCGTTTGTTTGTGACCTCGAACAGCTACAAATCTGAGCTTTCTTCTGTAGCTCCGGCTACATTGTGTGGATGTTCCTTCTGAGCTCTGCTCCGTTGACATCAGTGACCAGAAACTGAATTCTGTAAGAGCTGTTTTTTTTTTTTTTTTCAAAAATAATTTTATAGTCTGTGGGTAAAAAATGAGTCAAGCTTTTTCCTGACTGTGCGCAGGTCGAGCCAGAAGACTTGAAGGTGTTTGATAATGTAGCTAACATCGATGCATCTATTAACTTCCTCTCTTTAGGTGAATATTATTACCATATTTCATGCAGATTTACCTGCAGCGCGACTGTGTGCCTCATGTCACAAATTGTCTCCTGTGTGTTTCTTAACAGGATCTTTCAGCAGTTTTGTGTCTCTCAGAGAACTAAATCTGTCTTTGAACAGAATTTGCAATATGACATTTGATGTTACTGACTTCCCTCATCTTGAGGTAAGATGACTGACTTTAATTAATATTGGATATAAAAACTGATATTCAATATTTCTAGCTGCTTGGATGATGATAGATGTAGGGTTAAAATCTTAATCAAATAATACCAGATCAGGGTTAGAACACAAGTTAAACTAGAGAATTAATAAGTGTGAGCTATTTCTTTTATTTTTATTTTCTCATTATGATGCATTTCATTCCTCACAGGTTTTGGATTTGTCCTTCAACCATCTATCACCTGATTGTATTGTTTCTCTCGGTCGACTTCCACGTCTTAAAGTCCTTCATCTGACTGGAAATAAGCTTCACCGTCTTCCTCCTAATCTGGCTTCCTCAAACTGTGACCCCGCTCAGACGTGAGTACCTTATTTTCCATTAAACAACATTATAGGAGTGACTTTGCGCAGAGTTTGTTATTGGATTTTTGCTCTATTCATAGCATTCTTACTTCTAATGGAAAAACTCTTTCCCGGTGATCGAATAAACTGTCAGATGATAAACTGACTCGTCTCTGTTATAAGTTTTCCTCTTTTTCATGTTCGCTTTCATGTAACTTTAGGCGAAAAAAAATCTAAAAATAAACACACTTCAACAACATCTGCTTATTTGTTCTGAGGAAAGAAGTAATAGTGAGTGTGGTTGTGATACCGACTGCGTACAGAGGTCAGAAAAAAAACCTGCTTTCAATATAAAAGTTATTGCAAAAATCTCAGATATGAGTCATTGTGAAGCTGGCAGAATGAAAAGCAACCAATCTGTTTTATTACTTGTCTTCAACAGCAAAATGTGAATTTATTATCTAACCCCAGGCCAAGCTGGTTTTTATAAATATTCCTGCAGAAACACTTGTTCAGATTGATGTCCTTTATTATACTATGACAATATCTTTTTTTAATTAAATGCCATTTATCATATTTGTAATGGTTTCAAAGTCCAAATAATGATGCAAATGTTTTATAGTTTTATAATGATCTTTCAAACCAGGTATGTTAGTCATTATTTTTGTGGGTTATGTGTCAATCTTGATCAGTGCTTTGGTTACGATTTCACATCATAACGTGTCCAAATGGTTTCAAACTGACCAGGAGGGGGTGCACAAATGTTCCAAATTCACACAACTGATCCTGGTGAAGTAAATATAAAGACATTCAATACACCTGCTGAACAGACAGGTAGATAGTTGAGCAGAAAATACATTTAGTGTAAAATATGTTACTGTAATGATAATAATAATAATAACTGATCAGATTTATATCGCACTTTTCTAGACACTCAAAACACTTTTGGCAATTATTCATTCACACACATTCATTCCGGTGGTGGTAGCTACGATTGTAGCCACAGCTGCTCTCAGAGGTCTGCCTGCCATTCTGCACCATAGACTGTATAAAAGATGGACGTAGCAACCGGCCCTGAAAAATGAAGCCAACCCGGAAGTGTCAAAAACCTGCAATATCACTACATCCGCTAGTTGCTGGCTCCAAAAAGCCCTGGCTCCCATAGACTTGAATTGCAAAAGAAGTGATCACTGATCACGAAATACCACATTCCTACAGCTCAGGATTTTTTTTAAATTAGTTTTCATAGTCAAGTCCAGAGATCAGGTGGCCAATCTGAAAATAAATCAATACTGAATTTTTAAAAAATCGTCAACATTTTGCGGGGCAAAGGGCGTGGCTGGCTTGATTGACAGTTGGCAGCGACCATACAGATGAAGCGAGCAGAAGGCGGTAAATGTGGGCGGGCAGAGAGGGCCCGCCTCTCAATCAATCTGACCAATCGCTGCTCCTATAGCTCTGCCCCCCTCTGACGATTTTTGTGTCACTGGCTCCAAAAATCTAAGATGTCAACCAGGAAGTAGCAAAACCCTGGCTTCATTTTCTCAGTGCAGAAACCAACGGGTGACGTCACGGTAGCTGCGTCCATCTTTTATACAGTCTATGCTCTGCACCCACAGCCCCTCTGACCACCACCTCAAACAATCTACTCATACGCATTCACACCAGGTAAGGTGGGTGAAGTGTCTTGCCTAAGGACACAACGACCATGACACAGGTTATAGGGCGGAATCGGACCTCTGACCTTCCGATCATTGACCGACTCGCTCCACCACCTGAACCACAGCTGCCCAATCTGATAAACTGAACTGAATCATAAAGCATTTAGTGTAGGGCTATGTGTAGATTTTAGGATGTTAGTGAACTGTACTGTTTGTCTTTGTTGTCCAGGCTGGCTAAAGAGGAAGACGTCCAGTTTAAAACTCTTGAAGTCCTGATGCTCGATGATAACAAGCTGTCCTCTGGAGTCTTCAGCAGTCTTACCAACCTGCCGAGGTCATGATGTAGCTGGATGCTTGCTCTATGAAACAAAGTGTTTCTTGTAATTCACAAAGTTGGTTGAAAAATGCATTAAACATATTTAACTGTCAATAACAGGCTGAACCATTTAAACCTACAGAAGAACCGTATTTCAGAAATACCATTCACGCACCCGGCGGGATGTTTAAAACCTGCACAGATTTCTGCTGAGGAGCGAGCAGAAGAAGAGGGACGAGGTAAACGCTCAGCGTCCACTTAATCTAATTTATAAATCTACAGTGGATCCATTTGTCAGAATTTCTATCAACAAGCTTAGAAAAATATTGATTTAGTCATTTTTGCCTCCCCACTCTAGGCCACGCTGGGTCAAATCCAAACACAGACGAACATTTGAAGAGCATCTCACTGGTAATTAAATCTATACTTGTTAGAGATGTTCCATTGCTTTATTTCACATATGAAATCTTTGCATAAACCTCATGTTCCATCACAGAGCGTTCACAAAGACAGCTGGGAGGAGTGCTGCCAAGGATCTAGTTTGCCGTTTCCACAACTTCAATACCTCAGTTTAGCTGAAAACAAGGTGTGCTGCTGTTTTATATGAATAAATCAACTCTGGTTCTTTTTGACAAATGAGCTAACGTGCCTCACCAGTGGTTTGTCATCAGATTAGTGAGGAGGAAGCGCTGATGGCCGCCGCTCTTTTCCCACTGCTTCGTGAAATCGACATTCACTCCAACCCCCTGACCACGCTGAGGAGAGGTAATCTTCAGGCACAGTGGACAGATTCTGTGGTGATTTTAGAATTCAGAAATCACCTTCATGTTTTTATGTGAACACAGGAGACCTTCCTGTACTGACCTACTACCTCCAAGAGAGACTGAAAATAACAATAAAGCGGAAGAAGACACCAGAAACCGCGAAGCTCCCGGCGAAACTGCTCGCTGATCCAAAATGGAAGGTTGGATGTGTTTTGCACAGACGATGTTGCGTGATAATAATCCTCCAGACTTTTATGTATTGTCGCAAAGTTGCTCAAAGGAAAGACAAAAAGGAAGGGGATCACATATGACCATTTTATTATGTATTATACACATGACAGCTCACAGTCCAGGCAGCACATCTGAATTAACCATTTATTTCTGAATGATGTATATTCGTGTTTGACTCTCTTCGTGTCCTGCTCTGGCACAATCAGAGCGAGCCTGACAAAGAAAGTCCCGGAGATCACAACCCTTCCCTTCTGGCAGAGTCTGAGATTCACTAGATTTGAGAAAATGAACACAATATGAACAGAGAATGTCGTATAATGCAGGAGGAGAGATGAAGCGCAGATCCGTTAGGGTGTGTTAATTGGGTGGGAACCGACTGGACTGACTTTGTGCCTTCCTGAGCTACTGTGAAGCTCCATTCGCGCCGGTAATATGTCTTTTTCGTTGTCGTTTTTTTTGTGCTGCAGACGGAAGAAAAAATCCCAAAGGTGTCAAACAAGCCATTGTTGATGAAGACAACTTGCCCCGCTCAAAGTCAGGCTGAGAAAAGTCAGGCGACTGTCAAGGGAACAACCGGATCTGAGGGCAAGAACAGCGGAGGCCAAACCTTCCATGAAAACACGCAGCACTTCTTCATTACTCAGGTATGTCTAGTTTTGAAGACTAAAGGTTTCCCTCAGTCAGGATATATAAATTCTATAACCTTCGGTGGCACATGCATTAACGCCTTGTCTTGACATTTAAATTAGTTTCCCCTTTTCACTGAGAGATGTTTTATGTAGTGAAATTTACTGGATGTTATTTCTTGCCCAGGCAGCAGATGTGCCTGACTATAAATTCCATCTTCCACCTGAGGAGAAAGAAGCGGCACGGAATGAGGAGAGAAACAACCCTCAACGATTCACATGCGACAAACTGCTGATGGATGCAAAGCCAAATCCTGACGCGCTGAAGCCCGTCGGTGAGGAAAGACGGAGCGAGGAAAGCAGTTTATTTTTTGTATATCGTCCTCAAGCACTAAAACGTTCGGCCATACAGTCACCCCACAGAGAATACTGATGGTTTTTTTTTTCTTTCAACAGGAATTCAGACAGCTGTTAGGATGCTGGAGCACACACTGAAGAATCTTAATGTTTACAGAGACTCCAAACCAAAGCTTGATAGCATCCAGACGCCATACAGAGAAAGAGAGAAAAGGGTACATAAAACTGACTAGCACTCACATCAGGGCTGTCAAATTCAAAAAGAATCTATCAGTGTTATCACCTGCATGTCATTTCTGGACACAGATTAAGGAACTGCCACCTTTAAAATCGATAAAGCAGCCGGCTGAGAGGGTGGATGAAATGTTAAGGAGCATCAAAGAGAGCACAACAGTAAAAGTAGTGGCCTTAGGTATATACCTGTCTTATCGCCAGGTGAAACCAGACGTACAATCTTTTTTTTTCTCCCTCACTGTCTGACATTAAATCCAACTAAACTTTTCCTGTTTTAGGTCAGTTAGGATTACCAAAATTATTTCTGTTTGCTAAATGCCAGAATAATGAAAGAGAATTTTTTAGAGAATTTTTCACTACTTTCTTCAAAGTCAGAAGTTTACATACACTAAGTTTACAGTGCCTTTAAACCATTTGGGAAAGCCCAGATGATGATGTGATGACTTTGGAAGCTTTTGATAGGTTAATTGACAACATTAGACTTAATTGGAGTGTTTTGGTGTGAAATGTGCGTATCAACCCCAGAACAAAAACAAAACACCCCAGCTGAATCTGGTAAGAAAGTGTCATTATCCAAAGTGAAACGAGTCCTGTACCAACATGGGCTGAAAGGCTACTCAGAGAGGAAGAAACAAACCTGAGAACACCATCCCAACTGTGAAGTACGGGGGTGACAGCATCATGTTGTGGAGGTGTTTTACTGCAGGAAGGACTGGTGCACTTCATAAAATAGATGGCATCATGAGGAGAGAAGATTATGTGGAAATATTGAAGCAACATCTCAAGACATCAGCCAGAAAGTTAAAGCTTGGTGAGGAATGGGCCAGAATTCATCAAACCATTGTGAGAAGCTTGTGGAAGGAAACCCAAAACATTTGACCCAAGTCATACAGTTTAAAGGCAATGCTACCAAATACTAAGGAAATGTATGTCGACTTCTGATTTTAAAGAAAGTAATGAAAAATTCTCTCTCACTATTCTGGTGTTTAGCAAATATAAATAATTTTGGTAATCCTAACTGATCTAAAACAGGAAAAGTTTAGTCTGATTTAATGTCAGACAGTGAGAAAAAAAAATGTTATGTGAGTGTATGTAAACTTCTGGTTTCAACTGTATATAATGAACTTCAATGATTTTACCTTCCATGACGTCACCTCTCTTTGTACAACTCAGGCAGTGCCATGCAGAGCACAGACGTCAACGGGGAGGAGTATAAGGAGGCTCTGTCACTGCTGACGGATATGAAGACAAAGTACAAGATGGTCCATAAGAAAACAATGGAACAAGTAGGAAGCCATGACGGAAATATCGACCAAAACAAAGCTGAACCTTTGCCTGTGCAGAGGATTTAATTCACATTCAAGTGCTGAACTGTCGATGAATGTTGCTGATGTTGGTGTGCGTGGATTTCTTGAGATAAATACACCTCATGTTACAATTAATAAAAGCAGTGGTGAGTTATTCTTGGATGTTGCAGTGCATCTTATTAAAAGTCCCTCTCAAGCTGCTGATTTAACTTCTAAAGACTCATCTGTGTGTGTCAAAGTTACATATTTAGAGGTTTTTTTTTCCTCATGAAATAACCCCTGAAAAAGGCTTAGATGTAGCTTTACATTGTTGCTTTATTCTGCCTCCTTTTCTGTCCACCCCTAAAACTACTCTAGCACACCAGCTCCCCTACAGCGCTGCTCAAACACTGTGCAATTATTCTACAATACACAACTGCAAGTTGTAATTATGGAGTGATTCAGATTTACATGTTTGAGCCAGAAACCAGTTCTGATGAGGAATAATGATACAGGAAGCTCTTATCTGCAAGCTGAGTCATCAAAATGGAAATGTTCAGCCGTGGTGTTGACTGCTTATTTCTAGCACATAAAAAAACGCCATATGAGGATTGATTCCTTATTGCCATCATGGAACTCCCTAATATGCAAACTTCAGAACCAGAAACCTGGAGGCTGCATGCTTGTTAGATATGATGGTGTAGCAGTATTATATTTACCTACAGCTGTGGAGTTCAGCTGTAGAGATTCATGCAGATGCAAGAAATAGTTGTGACTGTGTGGCATCTTCAGGAACTGTGTTTCTCCCTGCTCCAGTATTAATGAATCTGATGGTTTTAAGCAGCTGCGTGGTCACGACCAGAATTCATTTGCACGCATTGTATGCATCAAGTGTTTGCCAGTAGAATTCATCAATAGGCATAAAATGTTGACATGATGAACAAAAAGAAGTTTCTACATTTTCTGTGATATGTTGTAATATTTCACAAGCCTCCACCTCCTGAATTGTCCTTCAGCAACGAAGCACTGCTGCCGGAAATGTGACGGCTCTGATTTTCTCCATTCTGGGATGAATACAAGAAAATTGTGTAGATTATTAGCACAATAAAATCCACAATGAACTCTTTGATAATTCAAAATATGAGTGTTGTCTATTCATATTTTAGGGTGAATCCTCTTTGTAAACTTTGCATTAGTACTATTTACCCTTAATGCTAAAATATAAAACAAGTTGGAAGCTAAAAAAGTAGATTTTTAGAGCTTTCATGCATTTAAAAATACTGTTTATCCTCGTTCTGAACCCAGCATTCTCCGTTGACATTTTTATTGTGAACTATCCTTTGATTGAATTAGCTGTAATCTTTATGTATCAAACAGAAACATGAGTATTTTGTGCAGCAGCATGCAGTTGCTTTTAATTTTGATCAGATCCCTGCAGTTCAATGTGATGTATAATTCACATTACCCAAACACACAATTTACATTTATAACATGTTATCACACCAAAACTTGAAATGCCAAGTGTGATATTACTACAAGCTGAGAATGGAAACTATTCTAAATTTCTAGTCGTGATTTATTTATATGGTTCATTCCCCTTTTGATTTCATGGTGAGGTTTTTTTTTTTTTCTTCGGTCATCTGATTTCTATTATTTGTCTTCGGAGCAGCTTGCAGATGTGGAATGCAGGTTCGGCCTCGGTGGAATAAATCAGTTGGCACTCTGAGGATGTTTTATGCAGGGATTCAGCGTTTCTACATTCATGCCGGGATATTTCCCGCTTCTGTATGCATGGGATGATAAATAATGTATGTGTTGCATACAATATGCGCTTATGGAGTAGAATTCTCATTGTCACTTTTGCTTCATTTTAAATTTTCATTTCAACCGTATCATTAATTCAGTCAGAATTGTTGGGATTCCTCTGGAAAAACTTCAATTTTCATCTTCATTCAAAGCTAATTATCAAATAACTTGTTTAGATTTTTTTTTTTTTTTTACAGTAACCAAAACTCAAACAACTGCACATTTGATGACAAAAAAAATCAACTGATTATTTCATGATCATGAAATTAAAAAACCTGATATTAAGGACCCTAAAAGCACTGTTAAGATGTGTCAGCAGTGTGTTATTACAGTGTAGTAAAGCCACAAAATCTCAGCTATTACATAATAAATAGATATTTACAGACAGTATATGAAATGTGGCCTAATTTTCTATTGAAAAACATGTTTTTTTTCTGGTAACAGTTTCACATATCGAAAACAATCAGCACATTTCTGACTCATGCTATCAGACGAGCACCTGACCTTCAGTCTGTGGTTCCGGTTGGGGTCTTTTCATCTCTTGCGGTATATTTGATGGTAATGAGGAGACTGTGCCAAATGGCAGAGACACTACAGAAATACTATTTTCCAGTTCATTGGAGCTCAGTTCCACTCAGCAGCGCTCGACTGTGTTACAACGATATCCCACAGTACCGGACACCACAGCTGCTAAAAATCCGTGACGCGTAATGTAATTTAAATCTATCACATTTGTGTATTGTTGTGTTTCTCTATAAGACTTTTACTGCTCTCTCTGCTTCCCTACAACTCAGTAAAAGGCCTTCTGAGGATTTGTTGTTGGTTTCAGTAAAATGATGGAGTTTGTTCTTCAGCCAGTGAGTCCTGGCACTAACTTAATTTTGCCTGACCAGAACGCTGTTACAAGGTAATTTTGATGTGATAATGATTTGTACAAGCGGCTACGGTTACATAAGAGCGCTTATTTCATGTTCTTTGATGCAAGAGAAAACTTTGACACATACTATGGGGCAAAACACGTCACTTTTCCACCATTCTGGGCAACAATCAGTCACACTATTAGCTGCTATATTCCAGGAACATTATGGGAATCCACTGATCTTATTCCAAACTTACAAAACTCTTAAGTAACAGTCGGAAACTATTTTTCTCCCACATGTGCATTTTCACAAGAATGGTGAAGAATTACATAACTGAACTTAAATAGCCATCAGGGTTGGTTTTTTTCTTCTTATACACACCTTTTTTTGTCTTTGTGGTAGCGATTCCTCTGTACTCCCTGAAACAGTTACACATAATATTTCATATTATGCAATTTGTATCTTCTCAAGTAAATCAAATTAGTTCTTTTCTTGCATTACCTTTAAATTCTAGCCAGCACAATAATCCTGGACATGTAGCTCAACTGCTACTGATCAGTCATAACCGGAGAAACATATACTTGAATCTGTCAGCTTCGTTTACATTGAGAAGATAATTTATATAAATACATGAACAGATTAAACACAAAATATACCCCAATAACTCCTGAGAATTTTTATGTAAGCAAATCAGTTTTGGTTTATTTGGAGTGCAACATATCAGATACCATGCTTTTAGTCACTATGGTCCAAGCTCCAAAAAACACTGGACCCTACACTTCCCACAATGCAACCTGATGGCAAATGTTCACATCGTATTCAAACTCCATGCCCCCAGTTTGTAACAAAAGATACACTTTCTTAGCATAAGCTGAGATAACCCAGACGACGCCTCTGTGACGAGGTTGTTTCTCTGCCTTCAAACATCAAGATGCTCTCATACGGCCACTAAAGGCCTCATGCAAGCATTTTCACAGTTAAACTTTGATTATGCTCCCTTATAAATGCACACATGGACAGCTGCAGACACCACAGACACATGGCTGTTGTCATGCTGCTTTGTAGTTTGCTTGGAGTCTGTTTGGATGCACAGTAAATCTACATATTCCACACGTGCACACCAGGTCCAAGCATTTGCATCATTGCAGATATAGCATCGTGGCTGCATGCAGACCTATAAGAGCAGCGCTATTCTGTCTACATCTACATGTATGAGGGGTCATGAGGAGGTATAATAGCAACAACTTTGTGTCCGTAGCGTCCAAAGCTGTCCGTGTGCACGTTCATAATGGAGTATAATCGAGGATGGCCTAACTGTTACTCAACTTCATGTTTAAAATGTGTGAGAACGCTCCCTAGAGTTTCTTTCTAAACACGTCTGCCATGAAAGCTGCAGAGATTTACAACGACTGGCCTCATGGCGGCACGCAAGCTAAAGAAGTGAAAGCAGTTTATTAATATGACAGATCGCTGCCAAACTGGAGATAATTACTCAGCCAGCATATGTTCTGCAAATAAGGAAAGTTATTCCAGTTTCATTGTTATCATGCCTGTTTGTATTTTTATTGGACTCCTCTTCGCATTAAGATCAACACAGAACAAACAGACAAAAAGGCTCAGTTCTGCTTCCTCTGTAGCCTTGTTTGCTCTTACCATGAAAAACTGATGAGGTGAGTTATTAACTGAAAACACATTTCATCCATGCTCTTGGTGATATAACAAAATCTGGCAGGAGAGCAGGATTCTCTGCCCAAAAGCAAAAAATAACAAAAGACACGGTGAAGAAAGGCTTTGATGGTGTTGGTCGTAGGCAAGACAAATCTGTGTTTATATGTCTATATGTGTATTTTTTTAATTTTTTTTTTCTCCCTCCGTATATTTGAACACAAAACAGTTTCACATCTGGAGCAGTCATCACGGCAATCAAGCCGGAGAAATGTTTGGGTAAGATTTGTTTGACTCTCAAATTGAGGGCCAACAGTTAAGCTTTGAGAATAACCCTGTGGAGACTCAGACACCAGATTTGGCTCAGGAAGAACAGGCCTGAATACCTCATCAACACTCCTCATTACTCAAGTGCCAAATGAGTTCACTGCAGACTGGACCTATTCATTATTTCTTTTGATGGACAATTGAACTGTAACACACTTATCATGTAATCCTGGAAAGGTTTCAGATACTCTGGCTGACATCGGAAAAGAGGCCATGATTAATTACAGATCGTAACTGTAAAGTTGTTGTCGCTCTTTCTTATGTTGCGAGAGAAAAAAAAAGAAAAAAAGAAAGACCTCACTGTGATCTGCCTTGAATAGTTTACAGTCATTACAAGCATGTGTTTAAAATGTTGACCTTTAAGCTCAGCCGCTCGGGGTAACAGGACGGAGACTAAAGTGTTCATGACATGTAGCCCGGTATTGTCCATGTTTTCTTGGCCGGACTCCAATCATCAGCTAAAATGATCAGGGCCAACTTAATTAACGAGAGGGTAAGGGTGTAAAAAACAGAGCCCTTGATAGATTTCGGAAGTATTTTGATGAAGTATAAACTCGGGGGTTCTGCTGAGCACCTTAATCAGCTATGAAAGCAAACACATCTATCAGACTTAATTAACTTAACACAATTTGGCTCCCTTTGAATCAAAAGACTGCCTGATTGATTTGCAATGCTTCAGTTCCTCACAAACACCGCATGCATCTGTGAGGAACTACTTGCTGCAGCAGATTAGGGGGAAATATCCCATTTAACTTCTTTGAAATGAATGCAACTCAGCTGCTTTCACTTGCAGGACTACAGTATGTGATTATTGCCGAGCTACAAAAAAACCTAATCTGCAATAATCCTGTGTGAGCATTAACGCAACCCCGAGCGGTGTTTTCTGCAAGCGTGCACGAATCGATGTTCTCTGACTTTCTCACAAAGGAAGCCGCACATGAAACAACTGCCAAACAGATTTGTTAATATCACAATTTTGGCCAAGAAGTGCCTCCAGTCCTGGGCCGAGTCGTGACCCCGAGTCTCACATTTTCTTCACTTCCCACTGGATCCGGGCTACATGGGCAGCGGGGTGGAGTACACATACACAGAGAGCTCACCAACTGTATGATTTATACCTAGTGACTGCCCCCAGCTGTTACAATTGCCAGAGCCAAGACTAAGCATGCATAGCGGAATTAGCCCACGAGACGAATTCAAACATCCACAAAATGGGGACTGATAGGATTTCCATCAAACATGACAAAAGATGCCAAAACATGCAGCTAAGGAATGTTTGTTGAAAACAACCCGAACATTTGACGTCCGTTTTCGACGACCTGCATGGGAAAATGTAAGTTTAATGCTGCCAGTTGAAGTTGGCAGCATTAAAGTAGAACGCCCCTTTCTCACCCTTTTGACTGGAACAGAATCTCTGGGCGACTAAAGGGAGGCTGTTGTAAACTGTAAGGTCCAACACGAAAATATGACGGGCTTTTTGTGAGAGTAATGAAGGCATGCAAGGGCAGTGCGTCCGTTTCAAAATATTGTTTCATGCCTTTAGTGAGAGATGGACAGAGCTGTCTGGCGCAAAGTGTGAAAGAAACACAATGAGTCATTGTCTAAGGGGAGGGGACAGAGCGAGCATGTCGGGAGTTCACAGAGAAGGGAAGCAATATTATTCTGGAGCGCCCACTCAGTCTACCAAATCTGCAGTTGCACACTGACTGAGTCATGGGAACCACAGTGATAATTTGACACCTGTTGATCAAGCAGGCCTGCAGAAAGACTGCACACAGTGCTGCTGAGCAAAAAAAAGAGTGTTGCTGCTCTCACACATCTCGCTTACATCGATTCATTGCACCTTAATATTTCCAAGAACAGGCCACACTCCCATTAATACCTTAACGTCTGCTTCGTGGTTGCTCCGGTGGAATCGTTATCTATCATCTACCCCGTTCACGCAGTGTTTCATAAATGCAGACGCCTCTCAGTTTCTTGGCCTACATTTAGACCAAACAGCGCTGTCGTCCCTCAGATGATAACAAAAGTCTCCACAACAGAAACTCAAAACATAAAAACCAGAGATATGTTTCTCATTAAACCATCTAAGAGGAAAAACAGGGAACCAGAAATGTGGTTTTCATTTCAAACTGCACTTTCATTTTAGCTGTTAATATATTAGAATCTGCAGTCAATCTTGTCAATTTTGTCAAAAATCTGTCAAACATACATATATATATTTAAATTGCACTTCACATGATAAAAATATATTTTTACAGTAACATTTTTGGCCACTTGGTTGTGAACACATCATAAAAAACTCAACATTTGAATTTAAATGACCAACCTGTCTACAAGCATTTGCCTATTTATTCATCCAGCTAATACAAAACAACATTCTTGTTCATTTAAAAGCATGTTCCTGACTACCAAGTGACTCCAAGTCCAATATTCATTCTGTTTTTGGTCTCCACCAGCTCCTTACTTATACTGGCTCACGACTTGAAAAATGTTTCATTGTGTTAGTCACTAACTTTGTCCGTGTTGTCTGTTCGATGCTGAGCAGGTTGTATACAGCGAATACTTTTTCTGTGATCAGCTGCTCCTAAGGCAGAGAACAGAGCAGTGGAAGTGAACCAAAACAGCAAAATTGTGGGTCGAATAACAAAAACCATAAAAGTTCCACAGATCTGAAGTCAAATGCAGCTTATGAACATCAGCATCAAGCAGTATTTTGTGATATAAAATGTTTTACTATAGCTGCTTTAATACTGGTTTCCCCACTAGCTTGAAGTTTAATCACATCATTTGTGAACTATATTTATCTATATAATGTGTTGCTGTCAGAGATTAATAGTTCATCCAATCAGCTCTTTAAAATATTCAAACTTCTAGCTCAGAAACTTCCCTTTATGCTAAATGGAGCTGAAACTGTTTCAGTTCCTCCATCCTCACCGCTGTGACCAATAAGAGGGACATAAAATGGACGTTTAGGCACATATGGGCCAGTAAATTCTCATTTAATTGTTAGGGGAAGGCAGAAACACTACACAGGTGTCTTATCACGATCCAGCAGCTGATAAGTGATTTGAAAACGCTGCTGTTAGGAAACTATAACGTGAGTGCGTATGCGAGAGTTTTGGGGGTGATGAAAGTTTCAGCTTCTGCTTTTGATTTTCATGCCTCCAATAACATTTCATTTCCACAGTTTATCCAGCCTTCCGGAGCTCTATTTAATGGAAGCCTTCAGGCGATTACAGCGTTGGGACCGCTCCGCTGTAGCCGGTTTGCAGACCATTGATGAATCAGCAAATCATTCTCGAAGACAGCTATGAGCACCGAAGAAACATCTTGTCTCAGGTTCATATTCCCGCTGTTTTACTGCGGTTCACTCTGTGTGAGTAACAGCCAGAAACGAATCAGACGAACATTTCACCGGTGTGAAACCAGACAAAACTTTATAGTTTAAAAGTGTGAGCAGAGGTACAGAGTGCATTCAGCTACAATGACTGTGCCCGCTGTAAGATACAATTACTTCAGGTATGCAGAGTTGTAAAATGGCAGACTATGATAACAAACCAAATCCTGTAGCTGCTTAAAAATAGCTACAGAAGGTCTATATTTGACAAGTAAGAACTGTTAGGGCTGTTTCCTCACTAAACAATACACAGTTACTGCGTATTTACTCCCCTCCTGCTACTTCATGAAAAAAAAAAAGCATTTAAACAGTCAAAGGTATATACAAAGAAATCATACAAGACCCAATACACTTTAAATAAGGTGACGAAACCTCAGCTTGTATTTACAATAAATATGTCGATGATCATAACATCCTTAAAAAACCTTTTACATTCTAACAAAATGTGGTCCCTTGCGCAACTTATTCAAAAATACAAATTACTCTCATATAGTTAAGCAAACTCGTTTGAGAAATACTGATGTAATCTATTACTTAATAAATGCACATGAAAACGTCACAAAGTCCCCACCCTGAGGTTTATAACAGGATGAGGCCGCTCTGAGCGCTACACTCCACATTCGTATCTCGTTAAGTGCTTCCAATTTAATCCATCGAATCTAATAATGTTTGAATTATTACAAGTGCAAGTTTTTGACCAAGACAGTTATCAACAATGCAGCTACGGTCTGTGTTTTGTAACCTAATAATTTACAAAAAAATAATATGTGATGATTAAAACATGATGGACAATAATGTATCAATTAACTGATTAAAAAAAAAACATTGTAAATGAAAAATTCCACTCACAAGAACGACCTCCAAATGCACCACGTGTCCATTAAGTACGTACGTCTGGGTGTAGTGATCGAGAATACCGATATAAAGACTATCACGGTGAACACTGGCCTTCGGTTTGCTTGGGATTTAGGAAAGTCACCATCTCCCGAATGCCGTCTTCACAAATCGTGGTCTGAGGCGCTTTACTCAGATTTTCTCCCTCGTCTTTAAATTTTTTCCACGTCTCTAAAAAAATGAACTTGAATTATAAATCAGACACTATAAACATAATAACTTGAAAACAATTTCTCCTAAATATGTAAAAGCATCAGAAAGAACAAACCTTCATCGAGCGTTGTGAGCAACGTGTAATTCTCTGGATGATCCACGATGACTTTTCTTTGAACATCATCGATTTCCATTAGTTGTAAAGCACCTGTATAAATGAAGAACTCAGATAAGAATCAGAAATGGGACAGCTATGCTTAATGATGGTCTTAGATCAATTCTTTTCAACAGTTTGGAAAATACACTCTTATTCCTTTGGTGCCAAGAATTAGATTAAAAGACTGATCTCATTCTCTCGTTGTACATACAAAGCCTCAGTGAGTAGGTAGTTAGTTTATTTTAACATAAAGGCAAGAAAAATGGGGAAATGACTACATTGGCCCAAAATCCGCTATCACTATTAAAATTAGTTGAAAAGCCATTGCTAGCTGTTTCCTCTCTTTATGCTAAGCTAAAGTAAGCAACTGGCTGTAACTTGATATTAAACATAAAGAGTGGTATCAGTCTTCACGTCTAAAGGCCATTTCATGTTTTCCACGTCTGCGAGACGTAAATTTAATTTCAATCAGCTGTCCAAGTTCACGAGGCACATCTGCATGCATCCCAAAATATACAACATTTTAGGAACATGCTTGTATTTATTTCAAATTTGCGGGTATCTATTTCAGCAGGAACCTCAAGACTGGTTTTAAAGGTCCCATATGCTGAAAATCCATATTTATTGTGTATTCTGATTGCTGAAGGTGTTAAGTAAAAGCTTTTATGGTATAAAAACCTCTGCTTCCACCATCATTAAGTTGCCCAAAAACTAGTTCACCTCCCAGCTTTACAAGCCAATAAGAATTTGATCCAGGTGTGATGTAAGAACTGATTAACCAATAGTCATCCAGCTCCATCACAGATTCAGACTGTGTTCTCTTCCTGAAGGGGGCGGGGCTAGCAGCACATTGGTTTTCAGAGAGAAACAGCTTGTTTAGAACAGCAATGAAACCAGGAGTTATACAGCCAGGGTGAAATGAACCCTCTTGCGGATGTTTAGAGGTAAAACATTGAAAGACACAATGTGAGGACGTTGATTAATATGTTATAAGGGGCCACAATGTTGGATCTTTAAAGGCCAGTTTTCATGAAGTTTTGCTTCAGTAATTTTAACAATATGTTGAGCGAAATATGTCAAAGCTAAAAAGAGGTAATTGAATATTCTAAAATTTAAATTTTGAGACAGCTAAAATTTAGATACCGACTGTTTTTTAGTTGGTGGTTGAATAAGTGTTGTTTCACTGACATTTTTCCAATATTTAAATCGCCAAAATGTGGCTTATACTGACTTTTTGGATGATGGATAAAAAATATTGGGTCAGTTATGGTTGAAAATCAAACATTCATTCCACATCAGTCATAACATGTGCTTTAAATTTTGGTTTCAATGTTGGGCCTAAACGTGGATTCAGTGCTTCTGCTTGACAGCATCTCTCTGTTGATAAATCTGGTTTTGCAATTGCTTTTTGACTGTGTCGACTGAAGACATTCTTGATCATGCACAACTTTACAATTCATCATTCTAACAGTTCTACTTTAAGTGGTCGATTGCTGGACTTTGGAGGTGCTTTGATTTGTAGCTCCATGCTTTCCGTTTGACGGAATTTCGAAATTCTCAAGAAATCCTGTGCTATGTCCACCCACTGTGCTATGGGATGGGAAAGCAACAAACGTTGGCAGCAGGCTTTTCTGTGGTGTTTGGCACACTTCAGGAATAATCACTGATATGGTGCTGTGGTCCGATGTGTAGCCAGCTGCTATATCCTGTTATACGAGTGCATATTGTAGTATAAAGGCAACTGAGTGCATGTCTGCTGTCCGTGTTCGCACAGGGATGCAGAAATTGGCCTTTAATCTTGGCAAGAAAGTGAATAAGCACATGTCGATTTTTCCTCATTAATTAAGTACGGTACCTTCTACAGTGTTCCACATTTGCACCTCAACCTCCGCAGTACTTTGTCTTTCAACAGCAATGATCCTGACTGGGTTGGGCGAGTCAACTTTCAATGATGAATCTACCTTATACACCAGGAGGTTATTTTTATATCCGAGATAGCACTGGGTCTGGTTACTTTCAGCTTTATTCTCTGGAGAAAACAAAACAGAGAGAAGTTGGGTGAATGATGTTTACAGCCAATCAACATCATATCACAGTTTATTATGTTACGAGCTCTGATTGAGTACCTGGACAAGTCTTGCAGCACTTCCCCGCTGATTTCATAGGGTGTTGGCATGGATACTGGCTGGGGCACGTGATGCGTTTGCAGTCCTGGAGGCCGTCAGTACAAGTGCACAGGATGCATTCCAGGACCTTCCCCAAAACTGGATGCCACATGTCTCCATGAGAGTATGTCTTGCCATTGTATAAACACGCTGAGAGAAATGGAAAACATCTGAGCATTGTGCTGCATATGGAAACAATCGTAAAGTTGTGAGGAACACGTCTATAAAATCAAATACCTATAAATGATCTTTCTGTTTTGAAGACGTCTCACCTCTTTGGTGTTTCCTCTGCAACAAAATCTTCACAGTGGTCTCCGAAGCCCCTTTGAGGTTAAGTTTACTGAGGCTCAGGCCTCTGGGAGAAGCCTTGACCCTGGGGGGAGTGGCCCGGTCGGACCGCACCCTGGTCTGCTCGCCAGAACACTGGTCAACTGAATGCCTCTTTTGTTAACACAGAAATAAAAAAAAGAATTTAGTTATCCTTCATCTATCCAGCTATTGGCTTCACTTTCTTTTCCCTGAGTGGTAGCTGGAAGAGCATCATATCAGACACTAAATCATAGAGCTTGGCTCTTACATCTGAAGCAATGCCGACATTGCAAAGTTTTTCAGCAGTTCAGATGAAACAATACTAAAATCCTGCAGTCCCATTATCGGTCCAAATGGTCCGTGGATCTTGTTTTTAATTATCGCAGCAAAATGGATGTTTCAGGGCACATCAGAATATTGTTAAGTTAAGCAAATAACTCTACGGATCCTTAAGGGAAAATAACCGATTCGATTGTCCTCTTTAAAGTGTGGCTGCTAAACTGAAAACACCACTTTGGACTACAGTATAACATATTTTTAAAGACAGTCAACTTTCACATAGAGACATGAACGTCTAACATGTTAAGCAGCTTGTGACAAGAGCAAGAACATACAACGCCTCTGTTCAGTTGCTGGTTTCCATCCTCGGTTGATGAGGACCCGCTTGTGCCATGATCTAAGAGAGAAAACATGGAACCAAGTGTAAGGACTATGTGATTACGACAGAGGAATATGGCAGCAATTTCATTAGAGCTGGGATGTAAATCATTATAATTGTATAACTGGAAGTAGCTGACTTTCATTGGAATTGTGTACTCATATGATCATACTGTGTTGTTGTTTTTTTTTTTGCTTGGTCTGATTTAGCCAATTAAAGTGGAACAAATTTCGCATTTTGCATCTATTTCCACACTCTGCTAAATATAGCGTCAGAAAACACCCTCATTAGAAAACACCCTTAACAGTCGCCCACATTGCTCAGCTCTCCTCAGCATTGTAAATTCCTGAAAACTGTTACACCTGATTGGAAACAGAATAAAGGCATTTTCTCGGCTCGGAGGAGTTCGACTACCTTTACACACCAAACAGCAGGTATCTGGAACTGAAACTGGTGAGGAACAGGTGATGGGTTGGCATGTTTTCAGAGCGCAGAAGATGTTTCCAGTCTGCGAAAAGAAAGGGAGAACCACCACCCACAAGCCAAGCCATGAGACAAACAAGATCGAAGCGTATTCCAGTTGGAAAACTGCAATGAATCATAATCGGAATCTCACAGTTCTTTTTCTGTGATGCGAAGGGAACTAATTAATAAGCAAATCTCTGGACTGTGACAATGAAACAAGTTACTTTTGATGGAAACATGTTTTTTTGTTTTACTGATTTAAAATCTATACCAGGAATCATTTCATTACTGTCACCCTGTAGACCCAGAAACATCTGGTACCGAAACACGCTCAGCAGCTTAACGTCTCCCATCACATCGCCTTTTAAAAGATAAATTGTTTATGTCAGTTTTCACATCACTTCCAAATTCTCCTTCGATATCTGCCGATCGCAACCGAGTTAAGCCAACAAACAAACCAAAGCAAGATGTTTTTCACCGGCTACAGTGCAAAAAAAAAGGCTGTAATTTAACGACGCATTTCCCCTTTCGCTGCACAACAATAACAGCTCGAACTCAGTGGGGAGAGGCGGCAACATTACATCAAAAAGACAACACACACATGATGAACTTTTGTCGATTACGATGGGTATAAACAAAAAAGAGGCACATGTGGAGGCTCCTGTGGTAATTTCGGGGAGCATATGTCCTAATTCCTGGAAAGACACCGCATTAAGCACTTTTACATTTCATGTTTATCTAATCATTTTTATGTTGTGCTGGCAGTGCTTCAGTATGGTTTATGGGAAACAAAGGGATTCTCAGAATAAGGAGAGGAATTTCTGAATATTTAGTAGGAAAATATTTTATTGCACATTCACTACTGGCAAAGATCTGAAAATCCCATTTGAGTTCTTTTCAATTTCTTTCTGTTTTATTTTTGAAGGTCTATAAAGCACATCTGCAGTCATATTTAATAAAAGCAGAAAGTCAGATTGAACTTACAGAACATGTGCACATAACACACTGGTTGCTCTGCTTGAACGGGAAGAGGTCGTGTTTAGTGAAGGTCTCCCCCGGCTGGTAAATACTTCCATTGTACCTGCAGGATTTCACCGAGGCTCTCAGCCCTGCAGGGATCCTGGGTTCATCTGAGGAAGGACACATCGCACAGGACAGGAGGCTGTAAAATCACATAGCTTCTCTCTTAAGCTGATGGAGGGTGTTTTGGACAGAGGCCGGTCCTACCTGTGCATCTTGGACAACACTGCTGAGGCTCAGCTACTGGGTTTTCACATGGCAGAGCGGGACACTTGATTGTGTTACATTTCACATGGCCTGTCTAAGAGAGAGCAGAGTTTACAAGCGTGAGGTGCCTTTAAGCAGCTCTTCAGCACATTTCAGTGTAATATTCCTTTAGTTTGGTGAGGTTACCTCTGTGCAGACGCAGCGCATGCAGAACATGAAGCCGAAAGGCTCCAGATAGGGATGCCAGCTGTCTCCTGGACTGTATGTCTTGTCTTTAAAAGTACATACCACCCCGGAGCCTGGGTGTCAAGAATGAGGAGAAGGATGAGCTATTAGGAAACGCATATGGCGCAGATTAAGCGATCGACACAAATTAAAGGCATTTTCATGTAAAAAGAAAACTTCGAAGTAATGCAAACTGCACTAAAACATGCAAAACTCCAAATGCAACTGCCTCCACTTCTTCTCAAAACGTTTTTTTTTTTTTTGACAAATAGAAAATCATGATTAAACTTTTAGTCTTCTGTGACAGTTGTAGTTAAATAAGCTTTACAACAAGACACGCAGCGCAACACAACATGAGTTCAGCTGCAGCGGAGTCCGAGCAAACTTTTCTTATTTGAGTCACATTTTCATGCTTCTCCGCATTTAAAGCCCCACACGTTTGATCAAGACAGAATAAGCATCAGCAGGGTCTGGTCTTACCTTTCCGGGGTTTTAACTCTGCAGCTGCAAACCAAATGATGGAAAAGAAGAAAAACGTGGACTTCATTTTTTTACATGTGCGTGACTGAGTCTTCAACGCGCAATAAATATGTGTTTCTGCAGGACAGAAACTGCAGGACAGTGTGAAACAGGGATATAAAAAAAAGGAAAAAAAAAAAAAGAAATCCAACATTTGTCTTGGTTAATCTATGGCGCCTTCTTCAGGAGACAAACAGGGATGACAGAGCAGTGAACGCATCATCCTAAAATAGAGCAGCCGGTGACCACAGAACAGGAGGAGGAAGTGTTGAGCTGTTTACTCAAGTTTAATTTGTCCACACGGTGAGTAAAAGCATGCATTAATAATTTCGCTTAAGTTGAGGTATTGGTAGAGAAGGGTACTCAAAATATTAAAATTAGATTAGTTTCATTTTCGCGTTGCTCACATTTTAATTGCAACATAACCTTTGAATATGGCATTTAGTAATTCATTTTATTTTTTTATTTTCTGCTGTTCGATTAATACCATTTAATTTAACAATAATAGACCCAGGACAGAAGTTACAACTTTACTTAAACTTTATTATCACTAATTTACATTTTTAATATAATGTGAAATCACCAGGGATGCTTAGCCTACCTTAGCACGGAATTCAAGCTAGCTAGGTAGCCGGTGGAAAGCTAACATTGCTAGCTATGAACTCACGCACAGCACACACACACACACACACACACACACACACAAGCAAAAAAACAAACACACACAAACACATGTGTACACGGAAAACACATTTTTACATTAGCAGGTATTTTTTAGCCTTCACTAGCAAAGAATTCAAGCTAGCTAGCTAGTGCTAAAGCAAGCTAATATAGCACAATGTTGTTAGCTTAGCATAAAGTCAGCTAGTTAGTCTTTTAGACAAATAATGATACATTTTTTATAGCTGGTTAGTTACTAGGTTGCTGTAACTAATGGTGGTTTACATAATTTAAAAAGTATGTACACCAGAGTATTGAAAATCATTGGCGTCCATTGGGTGGGAGGCATCGTACCCTATATCAGTTCTAATTTTACACTTTTAACATGTTACAAGCAAAATTTTAGTTGGTTCTCATGTTTACGGTAAAAACAACAACAAAAAATGTAAACTTTAGGAGGGGGTAGTCTTACTCTAGTTAGCTGATTGAATGACATTTATTACTAGAATTAGTATTAATAGTAACATTTTAGTGGACGTCCTTGAACTACATTATTTTATCAACAACTAAATGACCAAAATGTACTTCCATCGCTTTTCTGCATCTGAGTGTCGGGGCAGAGGGGTTGTTTAGTTGCCTGAATAAACTTAAAACCATTGCTTTTTACACAAAGTTATAAAAGCAATTGTAGTCGTGACACGAACAAAGTAGCTGCTTCAAAGAAACAGTAGATGTAGAAATGTGACAGTTAAGGTTAAGGCATCCTACAACATTGTCTTTTGGGAGGTACACGTGGCTGTGTGCTGGTGTTGTGGGAGCAGGACGATGCCTCTATTAGGCCATTCTGCCTGTACAAAAGAATAAATTACCTACTGTCTGTAGTATTACATCATATTTAATGAGCTGTTTTTATTCACAGTCTCAGTTTTAAAAGTAAGTAGTTCCTACAGCTGACAGGTAAGTGATGGGAGGTTTACAGTAGCTTTCTCTGAAATGTTGTGAAGCATCAAATGAAAGTACCCCTTCAGTAAATAAGCATGTCCATGAATGCACATAATACTCTATCTATATGTAAACAGGAAAATGTGACTTACTCAACCTTGAGTAGCCCTTCCGATGGTTCTACTGTTTGCTGTATGAGATGCAGAAATTAGAGCAGCATACACAGACCTAATTCTTTTCTCCATTTATTATTACACATGGGGATAAAACAGTGCAACCATGTTAAAACAGACACCACAGTGCCAATGAACTCCCGTTTGATTGCATGATTATGACAAACAAAAGGAATAGACGTAGTGACCCATATCCCGACAGGGAGCCTGGTTACTTTTACTCCCTACCGTGATGCCTTTTGTAAGCCCATCACACGGCTTAATAATAAAACATTTACACTGGAGTAACAGAAGCATTCACAGTCAGTGCAGATGTATAGAAACAAAGAAAATCACAGACTTTGTCACACATTTCTAAAAATCAACAAAACTGTATTTCCTACAATGGGGTTCCTCTCATGATAGACAACATGGCCAGAAACTTTAGAAGGTTCTCAAACAAGTTGAGACTTACAGAAAAAATAATAAATCAACAAACCAAACCAAAAACTGCTCAAGAGATCGCATTTCTGTTTCCATGTACAAATCTACAATGAATGCTGTGAACACTGTCAGTGAGACACTGAAGCTGTACGTTTCTAAAACCTGGCTTTTAAAAGGCTCAAAATCAGCCACATTTTCAATAATAAAACTTCTACTTAGGCCTGGAAATGCACATCTGCATGAAAAATATCAATGTTTGCCGAAATGTTCTCTTAAAAATGACACGTGGATATAGGGTGTTTTTAAGAAGCTTAACACCCAAACACATTTTTCTTTTGAGTCTTCCACTGTAATGGTCCAATCGTGTGTGTGTGTGAGAAACTTAACACACAGAACATCACCGCCAATGTTAAACAAACACGTAAAATAATCCACCTTTTGGATCAGACACACCTGAGCATCCTCAACAAGAATTCACGATTTCACCGCAGGCCTGGTCAGAGAGTGGTGTGCACACTCGATTCAAGGCCTGTCATATAAATTATACTTTTAAATGTCTGAAGTACAGGATATTGCATTTGAAGATGAATGAGACACACGGAGTGCACACAGACACACTAATGCACTCGCACGCACGCACACACAACAGCAGACAGGAAGAGGAACCGGTGGAGCCTCAAGAGCTGCTGCTGTGTGCCCCTGTGTCGTCCTCTCGCTTCTGCCGTTTCTTTGCTCTGATTTCATTCATGGCTTCTTCTATTGAGCGAGTGTCCCTCTTGTTGGCCACCGGAACTGGGACAGAGAATTACCAACGTTACGAATGAACAGAGAAAACAGAGAAATTCAGCGTTTCTACGAGGCCGACACTCACCACAGCCATAAGCCCTGTTGGCCTCTAGTGTGTGTGCAGCATCCTTTGCAGCCGAGGTGCCGATCAGGTGACTGTACTTGTCTCTGTAGTTGGAGTTGGGACATGCCTGTGATGTTTTTGTCTGACTGGATGCCGCTTCCTCCTGCGCAGCCTGTTCCTGCGGCAATAAGGACGAGGAAAGTCAGAGACTGTGAGAGAAATCCAATGTCGGCTTATGTATCATTAGACATCATCAGGCTGCAAAGTGAAATGTGGTCTAGGAGTTAATGAAACTTTAAATGCCACTTTACTTAATCCTGCCTCACCTTCTGTTTCAGTAATTGAATTCCTTTATGTTCAGTGCTGGTGCTCTGAGTCTAATTCCACCTACTGCATAATTTAGAAAAATGCTAAAAAGTAGACAAGGAGCTGAGAAGAGGAGGAGGGGTGTGGATGTGTGAGCCAGAATCTGCTCAGTGCCTTCCTCTGGACAGAGAACGATGGAAAGTAGCATAGAACCACTGAGGGCTCTTAAGAGGTTTGAATTTTCCCTTCCAAAGAAAGAATGCAATGTAGTTTTGGAATCTACTACTACGGTTGTCAAAAGCACCAATCGAAACCACTGTACCAAAACTGAAATACCATAATATATAGTAGCAGACGTTTAGTAGAAAATAGCCTGTAAGTGATGAGTCTCATTCAGGAAATACATCCCTGAGCACACCTGCTCACCACTGATAAGAGGGTGTTAACATTATGTTTTAAATATGAAAATAAATGACACTGATAGTCCTGAACAGTTGACTCTGTTTCAGCATTGGCTTTTCAACCTTCAAAATGGTTTAAAACAGTGGCTGGCATTTTGCACCATTTTCAACCCTTGAAATGCCATTTTTTATACATTTGGTCGAAATGTATTGATGCGTTTCATCAAAGTTGAACCATATCTCAAAAATCATGTTTAAGTGTACAACAACTCTTTATTCCATCGTCCTCAGCATATATTCTGAACTGGTGGTGGTTTTTAGTCAGTTTACGAACTCCAGTGTTTACATCCAGATACTTATTGAAGAGTAAAATACAACACAGCAAGAAGCAAAATAGAGAAAGAAGTGCAAGTTACATTGGTTGTATTGTTTTACGGGGCTGTCATCTAGAAACAATACACAAGTATCTTACTTTTAGTCTGCGGCGTTGTTCTGCCAGCTGGGGATCCCACTCCTCTCCTTTACGATAGGCTTCCAGCTCTTCATCTGATGGAGCAAACTCCTGCCCCGGCACAAGATGGAACATAGTCACATTTCCCAACTACCTCATTATAAGTCAGGCCTGATGAGACTTTGTTTTAATGTCTAAAACCGACCTTTTTAAACAGCATGACGTAGCGACTCTCCTCGTCCTCCCCGAAAGAAAACGAAGTCAAACCAGCCACTTCGGCAACATCGTGTCTATGAAACAGGAAGAGGGGAAATTTAAACACCAATAGTTATGTGGAGAATCAGTCGTATTTTACCCGTTTATCAAAGCAATAACTACTTACAATATACTCCTTTCAATCTTCCCCATGGGATTGTATTTCCTTTTCTGTTGTGAACTGTCTTGGATGAAGTCTGACACTTCCTTCTCCATCTAAACAAGATGTAGGAAACCGCAGTGGTAATTATCAACATTGGTGAAGGGAGGCTGCAGGAGCTTTGTGCCAGAATTAAACTCTATGTGTCCGTAGATGTGACACTTCAAACTCTCACCTTTTTCCTGAACTCGGCTTTCTTTCTTTTCTCCATCTCCTCCATCTTCTTGAGTCTTGCTGCTTGCTCTTTGAAGAACAGAAGTTTTAGTTTTCATGAGGTTTATGTATGTCAGAGAGCATCCAACGGTTCCATTACAAACACAGATCACCCAGTCTCACAGCTACTCCTCGCCCACTTGTTGTCTTTAACGACTCAAGTCACAAAAAGGATGATCAAGAGACAGACTTCCTGTAATCCCAAAACCACATTACCAGATCGTTCGGGGCTCGGCCTTCAAATCCGGTGACTCAGATCCTATTATTTGTTGCATGTGTCTCCTGGCAAACAGTCTCTGATGTTTTATTAGTATGCACACTCTTAACTAACTTAATTAAACTGATTTGGTCTTTTTATTTTATTTTTTATCAGAGCGATGTTGTGGCTATGTTGTCACAACAACATAAAAGTGTTTAAAGTTTTTTTGTGACAATACTTCAGTCAGCATTGCTGCGGTGTTGCAAATGTATACTTGGGAACAACAGTTTAAAGATTACGTCTGCAAACAGGAAATATGATGAGGTATTCAAAATATCTCACGATACAGTGCAGCCACATGACATCTATGGGTTACTGCAGTTTTTATTACATATAAAGGGAGTTTAAAGCAAAAGCAGCTGCTGGTTGTAACTCTGAAAGTATTTAAGGAAGCTATCAGCAACTTATAAAGCCAGGATTTCATAATAAAATGAACAAAGCAGGGGATCATGCATATATGTATATTATTCGCTTACATCCACTTACTCTAAGCTCAAGAAAATGGCCATAACTTGTGCTAATAGTAAAGATCTTGAAAGGTCTGATCATTGGCAGACTGATAAGGAAGCTGAAACTGATCGTGAATTGAAATAACAGCTGTTTACTAGAAAATCAGACGGCTAAGAACTGTGAATGCTTTGAGGTAACTTCATTTCCGAGTTTGCCCCCAGGAGGCGCAGCAGCAGTTAAAGCAGTCCTGGTTGTTTACAGAGTGCTTTTAGCGGGTTTGTGTTACAGCAGCTGTCTGTAGTTCAGACGGTGGTCCGCAGCAGTCTGCAGCATGTCCCACTGAGGCGGTGCTAAACACGAGACAACACTTAGAGCTTACAGGAAAGCTCGCCTGACCAATAGCAGCACCAGAAATGCTCTGTTCGCCTGTGTATATTTTTTAATTTTGTTTTCATACATCTAACACTCGTATCATATTCATCTTAACGGTTTCAAACTAACACAAAAATGAGTGGTCGTTTCGGTAATACATCTTGTACCTCGTGCCTTTCGTCGGCTTTCCTGGTCGCCGACTGTTGGAGGTTTCTCCATCGAGCTTAAGATTGAACCCAGGAGGTCCGCCATCTTGGAATGATAGGGCAGACCGTCCAGGCCGTTGCAGCTGTAGAGGCCGCGCAGGCGCAGATAAACAGATTCTTCTTCGCTGGTGCACAAACAGCTGCATTTACATATATATGTCGCCCCCGTGTACCAGAAGGCTGTATTACAAGCCTGTTGTGTAAACAAAACAAGTTACACAAAAGAACGATACTTAAAATGATTAAACTTCTCAGAACATTCAGAAGATCAAGGATGAACTAGTCAGGATCTACCTTCTTGCTCCCAAACCTGACACTTGGGCCAGGTTTTTCTAAGGTAATTTAAATTGCTAGGAGAATAAACCCTATTCTGTTACCAGTTTCATAAAAAGTAATATTATCCATGATGTGTACTGACTTGAGTGTATTTGTTTCCGTTTCTATGCAGGCCTCCCTAAAACAGATTTGGGAGTGATTGAAGCCTGAGAGTGACCGGTACTGAGGTCGTTAGCTTTAATAGCAGCTGGGGGTGGGGAGATATCCAACACCTTGAACAAAGAAAGGAATATTCATTTAAGGCCACCAGTTACCTTGATCTGAATAGTAAGGATGAGCTTTCACATTTCTTTTTGTCCTTATCTAGCTTGCAGTGTTGGGCCATTGTTATTTTTTTCTCCCTTTAAGTAGATATTCCAAGGATATTTTTTTTCATTTAAAGAGCCTTTGGATGTGCTCTACTCAGTTTCCTGTCTGATGTTGTGGTTTTCTTATCTTATTGACTAATGTTGATGAAAATAATTGTTCCGGATTGTGAATTTTATCTTTCTTTGTCTACACCGTCCCTAAAAATATTTTAATCAGCCAGTGAGAGAGCCTTAGTTATAGCACTTTGAATTGCCCTGTGTGTTAATGGTGCTATATAAATGAATTTGGCTTGCCTTGTCTTATTTCTAAATGCATGCATAATGCAGATACTCTGTGTAGCTTGCAACTATAATTATTCTGTTAGTTTTTTGTACCCTAAAGTAGGCACAAGCACACATATTGGTGTGTTTTTTAATGTCTCTGGCAAATAAATAAAGGACTTCTACCTTTCCAAGCCCCTCTAAATGTCTAAACGGATGTGAGGATGGGATGTGATACACCAGATTATGGGGCCTCACTCAGTAGAGATGGCTTTCTGCTCTTCTATAGTCCCATATGTAGTCCAACAAAATAATATCAGTGCAATTTCAGAGTCATCCTAAATCTATATTCTGTAGGTTAGTCATCGGCAAAGGAAAAAATATTGGTCATTGATCTATTTTTTTTTTTTTTTTACAGCTTCTTCAGAAAGGGGAGTGTGAGGCCATGTGGTTTGAGGTCATGTCAAGGCAAGTCACCCTTGTTTATATGGCACATTTAAAGCAGCAGCTGTTGGGCCAAAGTGTTTTCCATCAGAACAATAAGGTTGGTGTTGCAATCTAACCTAACCAGTTTAAATATTGAGGTTAAGCCCCGACAGTGTTTTCATGGTGTGAATCATGTGAGTCATTTAAATATTAAAGATTAAAACCCTGCAAAAATGAAATAAAATAGAACTTCACCTGACTATAGTAAATATTGAGGCTAAGACCTTGGGGTATTAGGAAAATTGCTTTTAAATTTGGCAAATGCACTGTCCTCTGCCTCACTCTGATGGAAACAACTATAATTCTACTAGTCCTCTCCTGCTCACTTGTTTTTTTTCCCCCAAGCATTCCTTAGGTTGATTATTCACAGATTGTCTTTTTTTTTCTTCCTTTATCAGAGTGTGTGTGAGAGAGAGAGAACAAACAAGCAAACAAACATCTTTACATAAGCACTAGGGGGCATGCTATACAAATACATGTCTGTGTGCTCATGCCTTGTGTTGTTATTGTTGTGTTAACAATTCTGTCCCCGCGTCACCGGAGCGGCGTGTTTTGTGCAGTTTGATTGTAGTTCCACAGCATCAGCAATAACACATGAACTACTGCCATATTCAGATGAGGGGAGAGCAGTGGATGAACAGAGGGCAGCCCTGAAAACACAGCAGGACAGACAGAACTGTGCTGCTTATTGTGTCTAAAATAAACAGATTAGACAGTATTTCACTTGTAATTTAAACCTCTGCAGGGCGTGTTGTTTTGCAGGAGTCCTTTGTGGTCAGTGTTTGCTCCTCTGTCCAGCCATAGGGGCGTATGTAAGTACAATACCACATGAATGTCCGTTTTTCATTTAGATTTCTGTGTTGGTGCAGAGTAGAGAGAATTCCTATCATTAAATCACATTAAATAAAACTATTCCGTCTCACATTGAGGACAGGAAATTGCAGAATGGTTCTTTGTAAAAAAGCTGGAAAGCAATCTCAAGTTCTCAAGAGGCTGCAGCTGTTGACTAAGCTGAGTAAGCTTATAGTCGTGACCTCCGGCCCTCAGACTCCCATCATTCAGCGATACTCTGTTATTGTGATTTGGACAGAGCACGACGGACTCCTCCCCCGTGCTTGAAATGCCGTATAAATGCAGCATCAGCCTGTCAACAGCAGTGTCTGAAAGCTTATTGGTACCCCAACATGAAGGGACTGAGCTTGGTTCTCCTTGTGCTTCTCCTGATGCTCGCGGTCGGGGAGGGTAAGCAGCAGATAATACGTACATTTTCTTACCGTGTGAGATCAAATCGGGCAAATCATGATATGAGAAATGCTTAAGGTGCGCTGTGTTAACACCGGGCCTGTTTGTGTGGTTCTGAGAAGCAAAACTCTCATGAACTCATGAGATTCACAAGAAGTCAATTTATTTTGAAGATGTAATGATTTGTTGACCTCAATAAGTCAGTACTGCTGAGGGATATGATATTGAACTATCTGCAGGCGAGGATCCAGAGATGCAGTACTGGACCTGTGGGTATAGAGGACTCTGCAGACGGTTCTGCTATGCTCAGGAATATATCATCGGTCATCACGGTTGCCCTCGAAGATACAGGTAGGTCTATATGTAGATCTGTGCACGACTTTGTAACACTAAGTGTGAAATTCAGCAGAACAAAAACATGTATTCTAAAGAAGATCCAGATAAATTGCAAGATTAACTGAAGTTGTGTAATCATTTTCAGGTGCTGTGCCGTGCGGTCTTAGCACCCCGCCGGTGGTCTAATGAAGCCCAGAAGATGCCACCAGCGTAAAGTCTGACACATTCAGCACAGGTAGCTGGGATCCTGCTAACTCACGCGGCGTTCTTCCGGATCGACCACTTTCTCGGCCTCCTAACATCTTGTGGAATCTGAAAAACGGAGTGTGTTTGAAGTGGACTTTATGTATTTAGACAAAAGCTCGTTTACAGCTGTGTGGAGCTGCAATCATGTTGTTGTTGTGTGAAACTGACCCTGTATATCCGATCCTCACACTTGTACCCTCTGAAACAGAACTGTTATTAATTCTACTCTCTGACATGCAGTGTTGGCAATAAAGGCGTGAAAATAATCACACTGATGTTTGGCTTGTTGCTGTTCAGCTCGGATAATCCCCGTCGGCTTTAAATACATTATCCCAACTATAATGCAAAACAACTTTGCATCTGAAAAATACATATCGTTAACACGTATATGTGGAGCTCCCTACCCCACTTGTCCTGACCTTAGGGGAATAACAGCACAGAAAGCAGTCTGAGTTGAGTCTGGCATGCTTTCATACCGACAGGAGACAATAATGGTGAAGTGACCGACCCAAATAACCGTGATGGAATAGAGCTTTTGTGAATGAAGTGTTATGTCTCTTGTCTGTGTTTATGTTACCTCACTGGTCTGTCTGTCTGGACAACACTGTCTGGATCAGACCGACACCGTCACAATCCAGCAGTCGCGATTGCAAAGCAAAATTCATTGTCATATTATCTGCGTGTCTGCGGTTGTGAGGTTAAATGTCACTGCTGGTGAACTTTGATATTTTTTTTAATTTAAGGAAGCAATATAAAGATAAAAACAGATAGCAGCCATGATAGACATCAAAGTGCCTGTTATGATAAATTATACAATACTCACACCTATGAGGCAACTGATAAATACTTTTTATTATCTACACAGTTGTGTTGTTGAGTTAACTGAGGCGGGATCTGAAGATGGCTGATGACCGGCCCGGTGTAGGTGTCAAAGGCATGGGTGCTATTTGTAAACAGGAGCCAGCGTATTGTGCCCCGCATTGTCATCTGGGTTGAATCTTTGTACTATTCAGACAGCGCAGCGTGACCAAACTACAAAAGGGGAAACGCCTCCCAAACCTGTTTACATGTCTGTCTTCACAAAGCCAACAGCTTAAAACAGAAGGTTAATACAGAATGGGTGTGTTTTTTTTTGAGTTGCATTGCTGCAGAGGCACCAAGATGCTGCAGGGGCTTTTTTACAAGCTGAGGCAAATGAATCGCATTCTATTGGTTGTGAGTTATCAAAATAAAACTGTCACTTTAATCCAAAATTGTACATTAGAGAAGAAATCACAGTTGTGTGTTTTTTTTAAATAATACTTTAGGCCTAAACTAAACTGATTTCTCATTGCGTCATCAAGAAATGGATGTTTCAAGATGACTTTTTATATTAAATTTTATCTAATAAATTATATATTTGCGTGGATCATGTGAGAAGTGTATCCGCTGATGTAGTATTGAAAAAACAAGAGAAAGGCTGAAGTCATTTCTTAATGCCAAGTGAACAAAAATAAATCAGCCTCCACCTCAATAGATGGCAGTGTGTGAACATTATGACCCGACAACTGACAATTCCTCATCCAGAAAAAAACAAAACACGCACCGTTATGAATCTGGAGAATGACTGAGCGACTGAAGGCTCGTCCTGAAACCACTCCAGTCTTGTTCTCAGCCTCTGGCTGTTGCCATGTTAAAGGGTAAATCTTTGCTCGGGTTCGGAGTTCTCTGGGTGACATTTAATTCCAAATATTTTCCATGACCTTCACTCATGACCAGACCCAGCAGCTGAAAGAATCTCTGAAGACGTTGCTTCACCGTTAGAAGCAGTGTCAATATTCAGGTCAGAGTTTAACGTCTGTAGACTCAAAGCAGAAAAGTCATTAGGCTCTAGTATAGCCAGCTCCAGGTACATTATCTAAGCTTTTCATGCTACAAACAAAAGTGCCTTCTCTGCTGCTCCGTTACGGCTGAATTCTCAGGTCATCTTAGTGAATAGCTGATGCTCCTACACTCTTCCTCCAGTCTTTTTACAGTTAAGTTTGTACCCTTCGGACGCCGTTTTGCTCGGCCTTGATAAATCATGTCCACTGAATGCTGAGCGATATTCAGTTGGAAGCAACATCTGCTGAATGTAATGGTTTTTCCTCTAAGGTCGGTGTGGAGCAAGAGTTCATGTGCATGTTTCTCTAAATGAAAGAAAAGTAACGATAAAGCTGATCTAGCGAGAAGATAAAAAAATAAGTGAAGGAGCCTCTTGGATGAGAAACGTCCAGCTGCTTTCTACTGAAGACTTCCTGTAGTGTTGCTGCCTTGTTTGAGAATGTGCAGGTTTTGTTCTTCTGCGTCTACACCACGTTCCAACCAACATTTAGACTTTGATAATCAATACAGAGAGGTAACAACTACACTAAATTATTTTTATGATACAGAGCAGCAGCCAAAAAGTCTCCTGGTGGCATCAATTAACCTTGACCTGTTTCTAAATAAAAATAATGGATTTACTTTTAACTCCTCACTCAGAGACAGTCCGACTACAACAGTTGCTCAATATTTCTCGCTTATCAAGACGGCTTTTGAAAACAGGAAAAAGGAAGCAAACTGCAAAAACACTGCATCACATATAAACAACCCTACGAGGTGCTGTGTGTGAGCAAAATACTGAACCACCAAAATCTGGAACCAGTTTTAATCAATGAAAATGTTAAACACAGAGAAACATTCAGATAATCTTGTTGTTCAGAGGCATGAAAATTAAAAAGCTTCCCTGACAAGTGAGCTGGGCAGGGTTATTAAACAGTTTTTTTCTTCTTCTTCTTCTTCCAGAAACCTGACTCTAGGAAAGTTAAGGTACATGAAAAACATCAACTTCAACTGCAAAAATGTACTAAACTAGTTTAATCCCCCATGTTTCATATCAGTGCAAATTCAACACGAAGAGGTGAATTTTAGTGCTGCTAACAGTCGTACACCCCTTGGGTTTATGCGTTTGTTGTGCTCCAAAGGCATTGGCACAGTTTTTCCTGCTAAGATACAGTTTTAGTGTAACTATACGCAGTTCTGTGTCGCATGAGGTCTGACAGATGAGAAGCAGAAATGCAGTGTGAACTGTAGCTGCTGTTTTGTTGAAGCTTTATTGCATTTCTGACAATTAATCTCTGCTCAAATCTTATAATCAGGTTGTAGCTACAAGATGTAAATGTTATTTACCTTAAAATTGTACTGCAAAGACTATCAGGTATGGTAGGAGTACAAATGAGAAAAATGTGAGTGTAGTGTTGAATGCTTGTTTTTGTGGCTTCTCCAGGTGTGTTGCACAAAGCAGGATCATCTGCATGAGTTTGATAAATAAACCTTAGAGCATCTCTTCGTCCCAGCGAAAATCGAGATGATCAATGGACTTTACTACTTGAAGCCAGAGCAATTGTCTCCAAGTACAAAACAATAATTGATTAATATATAGTTTTTAAATATTTAAAAAAAAACAACAACAACTGATTGTTATTTTACTGCAGGTCATCTTGTATTTACTTTGCATGAAAATCTGGATCCTGCAGCTTCCACATTCAAAACTACACTCAGGTTTTCTACATTTTAAAATTGATTCCAGTAAGAGGATGCCAATTTTTGCTGGCATAAAGGAAGCATTTCATGAACTTGTATGCTATTTACATACAACTGTAACCTGAATACGAGATCTGAGCATCTTGCCTTTTGAAACAGTCATCCTTATGACATTAAACCCTGTCAAAATCAAGGTTATTATTTGTCTTACACCCATTTTTCATGTAAGTTAACTTCATATTACACTGACAACACACAACTAGCGCGAAACCTCAAGGGGAGTACAAAAGCTTCCACAGCACTGCATATGACAACATGTAATTTCACATCTCCAGCAAAGACATGCTTTAGCTTGGACGCCTGGACTTACAAGTCAGGCGTAACGGGTTAAAATCTGTAAGATACCGCTGCTGAGACAGTAAGGTGCAATCTTTAACATTGGTGGCAAAGCACAAATTAGCGTTAAACAATTGTTTTTCTTTTCAAAGAAAATGTTGATTATATGACCTGCAAGAAGGAAAACATTTGTTAATGAAAAAAAAAATAACAAAATGCCCTTAAAATTACAGCAGTCGGCTGATCTAAGCCTGAGAATCCGATTGTCTTAGCTTAGGAGAAAGGTACGATTTGGTGCCCTGTATCTGACGGGCCAACTGAGCTCGAGGCCAATTCACGTTTATTTCAAAATATAACCTGTAGCTTTATTTTATAGCTTAATCACTGTTTCACAAGTTGTTAAAAAAAATGATGGAGAAAAAAAAAGTAAAATGTTTCTGTTCTAAAGAATTTTAAAATGTCTACAACATGTCAAATGAAGTGAAATGAGAGTGCACTGACACCAACACTCCTTTCAAACAATTTATAAAAAAAACAAAAAAGGAAAGAAAATAAAGCACTAAACTAACAATCCATGTGCCTGCCAGGACAGAACAAAGCAAAAAAAACATTAGAACTTCTTTCCAATGTACATATTCATGTGTCATCACAAAGCTGGATTACCAGTTTGTCTTAGGACAAAATGACCCGCGACTAACTGGTAAATTGGCAGCAAACATTTGAAAAACAAGACAAAAAGAAAAGAGAAAGAAAAAAAAACACTGGAAAATGACAAAAGCAGTGAGGAACTTAAAATGACAAAAACAAAATTTGCAAACTTATTTACATTGATCACTTACTAAAATAGAACATATTTCATCCATCTTCTCTTGCCCTCAGATGCCAAATGGTAAAATTGAACCAGTCAAAAAAAAAAAAAAGACTTCTTTGTCCAAGCCACTTAGAATGAAAGGTTGTAGATGAGTGGTACTCAGTGCAAAACAGTAAAGATATAATCACAGACTGACTACCTGTAACTCATAACTGCCCACATTAGGTCAAAGACTGAGACAGTGATGGCATAACTTGTCAGAGACCCATAAAATATTCCGGCAGAGCTTCAATACAAACAGCATTTTCATATTCAAATCTGGTTAACAAAAAAAACAAAAAATCATCAATCTTTTACAAAATGTAAATTTTTCTTTAGACTCTGGAGTCTAACTTGGAAAAAACCTCGCGAATGACTCTGATGCTGTTTGAATCCGTGCCTGTCCAGACTAGTAGTGCATGTGTCCGATTTATGCAGCTCTGAAGACGCTGCATCGACTCTAACAATCGGTCTCTGACTCAGATTTCATGCTCCGTCGTATTCTCAGTCGGCACCTCATGAAGGACATTATAAACAACACATAAGGGAGGGTTATGGCTTAACTGTAAAACACAGATCACTGCATGCTACAGATCTACTTTGCAAAATAGTCCTTGTGGTCGCTGTGCTGAATTATCTGGAGCTGAGCCACCAGTGGACGCCATCGCAGCTCAAATGTGCCCCCAACGTTAAGATGGAGCGTTTAAAAAAAGCATCTTTAAGAACGTTTTAAGTGACTTTTTGGAGAGAGCTCCCACTCCAAATAGCTCAAACTCTTAAAAATGTAAAATGGTTCTAGGTACCATGTACGCACTAAATCCTGTCTCTGTGTTGTGATGACAGAATCTACTGCTTGACGACTTTAAGGTTCTGACCGACTAAAAAACACAACAGACCTTCAAAAGTGTTTTATCTGTTACTGAGTAAGCAGTCACTATTTAACTGAATGTTTGCCGTTTTTGGCTGTTGAGTGATTTTTTTTTTTCATTGTGCATCACCGTCTTTCACACTGAGACAAGCCAGTTGTCACTTCTTAAGGTCTTTGTGCAGTTTAGGAGCTTTTCATAATGTCCATTTCAAAATGTATTGTTACACATTTTGACAGCTCTGTAACAGACTGAAGTTAATTCAGCTCGCAGGCATATTTTGCAAAATAATAAACGAAAACAAGCTACACATTAGGGTTGGAAAATGGGACAAATACATCAGCTATTAGTGTTACACTGACTCCATGGCTGATCGACTTTGTTCAGCTGTTTCAAACTCACCAAAATGTGTGCATTTATACGCCTGCTGCAACAGCATTAAAGGCTTCAAGCATTATGCAAATATTTAAGCATTAAGGTGCATTTCTATGCCATCAGTACTTGCAGTGAACCTGCCAGTATGGGGCTTAATTAACCAATAGCCTGCACAGTGTCCTGCACAGCATCAAACATTACCTGCGCTTCAGTGTGGCTTTTCATAAGGTTTCATGTTAATATCACTTTCATGGCTTTGTAATCCAGTGGTATACTGTAGCTTTGCAGATGCAACAAACAGTTGATGATTCTAACATCTATCGCCTGTTAAACTGGTAATGGTGACCAGTTGGATAAGTCTGCCCGATCGCCCAACCCTAACATGTGTAACGTACGGTGATGTGGTGGCACAGAACAACATTATGAAAGTAAAGATATATGGCCAAAGATCTTCAAACACAAGTTATGGCCGTGCATCAAACTGGCATCGTTAGCAGTAGGATAGTCCGAGGAAAGGATCAGATGAGCACCTCTCCCACAGTCTGGCCAAACTAGGATTTCTGGCTCCAGGTTAAACATTGCGGAGTTGTATCCGAGTACACTCCATACCTTTTTGAGAATTTGCAGTCACAGAGGTGCCTGATAGGTACCTCGTCTCGACAGATCTCATCTTTACAAAATTAATTCCACTTTTGGTCCCATTTTCCTTTCTCATTTTCCTCTTCAGCATTGAAAGCTGGAGTAACTGTTAAGGATTCGGATGATTCCTTGCAGTCCAGTGCAGCTGGCTGGCTTGAATGTATGGTGGAGGCTTAGGCTACTCACATTCAATGATGTTCAAGGCAGGGGCGGTCATTTGTGAAATACATAGATTGGCCTCTGAAAACCTGTCATGGCAGAGTAAATAAAAAAAAAAGATGAACATGAGCATCAAGCAACAAAGTTAGAAAATAAAAATGTTCTGACAAATCATTGGGTAGTTACCTCTTACTGAACACTTGGGGGCCCCGAGGGACTCAAAACTGGTGAAGCCCACCTCAGATGTAAGATATGATGAGAACTGGTCAGGTTTGAGGCGGATGCTGTGATAATTCCTGCTAATGTTATCCTGTTAAATGAGAAAGAAAGCAAATATTTGTTATATAAACAGCCAAACAGCCAAAGCTTTAACATCACTGCTGCTATATATACACACACACAGGCAGATTTGCTTGGTTGCAAAAGTCCTGTTTTGCCCTTACAGTCAGCTTCTTTCTCCTCACGTAGGATTCCCAGGGCTGCGGCTCCAGGATGAACATGCCTCCGGGACGGAGATGTCTATAGACTCTCTTGAAAAGCCGCTTGAGGCCACTGTCTCCCCAGTTCAGGTGAACCCATTTGGTAACGCTCAGGCACAGGATCACATCGTACTCTGCCCGCTGAGTCACAAGAAGATTATCGTTCTCCAGTACGTAATTGGCCTAAAGGAGAGAAGAGGTGAGGTGAGGAAAAATATGGCCTTGACAGGACAAACATTTTTGTGCAATTCAGTGGTACAGCGGTAATAAAGTAAAGAACTTTTTTTTTTCTTCCATTAGCACATGAAGGCTGCAGCCAAGGAAGTGAAAATCGAAATAGCCTAACTGAACAGCATTCATAAAAATGTCTTAAATTCAGTCTATTGAACAGAAGAGCGCATTAATGGACAGGTCAGTCTGAAAATAAATTGAATTCATAAATCCACTTGCATATCAGCTGAGTTTCAGTCAGCATAAGAACCACATCGTTGGTAAACAGGAAACAATGAAACGTCAGTGACACTCAGAGGCTGCATTTAAAATATGTAAATGCAGCCTGTAAATATATATGAATGCAAACACTGAACAATTTGTATATTAATAGGATGAAAGAAGTGACAATACAACCCTATGGCAACAGTATGCAACACACACACAAATGCAGCAATACCCACTAAATTTTACTGCTGCTCTGTCAGAACATTTGACTTACAAATAGATCAAGACTGACATGAATGTTTATGTGTGCAGAAAGGATTTTGTTGCAATAATCGGTTTAGCATTTGAAGAAATTTACAAAGTTAAAAATGCTTAGGTTTTGCTGCCTTCAGCTTCTCAAATGTGGAGATTTTAGGCTTGTCTCTGTTTGTCACAACTCTAAAAGATCATTTAACAAAAGTAAGTACAGAAACAGAAACATTTAGATCACCAAGGACAAAGGGTCACAAGTACTCAGGATTACAGCACACAGATATTAATAAATAGAATAACACTGATCTGCACTGATGGTAAATGAGAAAAAGCAGAACAGAAGAAGTTTGCTGAGGAGGAACAGAAGCAGGGTGTAATTTAATCTGCATTACCCTTTACATAGAACACAACGGAGAACAAAGTTTGGGAAACTTGATCAGAACAGACCTGTTTCACAGCAGACATTTTAAAATCAAAAAGCACAGGTGTCAAAAGCATAAGCTAGGAATCGGTCTATCACGCATTCAAGATAAATGATCACGGCATGCGAGATAGAGACAAAAACACAACTAAATAATAAACAAGCCATGCTAAGTTCTGTCAACACCCTAAAGAAGTCTTCGATCAAAGCTTCCAGTCACAACCACCTTTTTTATGAAGATAGCTAAAGACTCTGAGCACTTTGGACTTTTTCCTCTTGTTTACAGTCACCATGGATTCATTTGTCATATACCAGCTGTCCTGTTTTTTCACCCTCAAATCCATCTTGTTTCACATAGTCTGAGGGGTTTCAGACATTTCAGTGATTTACAGAATGAGGTCTGTGCTGCGCTGCTGTTATCTCTAATACTCCCGGCAAAAAAGGAGGCACTTAACGAATTCATTCAGAAACACTACAGTTAATCTGCATCTAACCACTTCATGCAGCTGCCTGCACAAAGCCTGTAAGGCACAAGGCCAATGGACTGAAAAACACTTCAATAGAAACTATAATAACATTAATAATGCATTTTAATACAGTATCTTTTATCATTTATATTTGTGACAGGAAAGCAGTTGGAAAAAATTGTCAAAAGGTGACATGTGATAGAGTGATGCCATCAGAAATGCTTACAGCCTTCCTCTTTGTCACTTCCATCTTTCAGTTCTGAACACCACTAGTTGTTTCAGCGATTAGTGAGCCTCCAAGGATGACAAACAAAGGGAAATGGAAATTCCCTTAAAACTCAATTCCAGATAAACTAAATGGTGCACACTACATGCTTTAATGGAATATGCAGTAACAGTGCTATCCCTAATTTAAAGGCTTTAAGAATATTATCATCATCATTGTGATTGTCGTCGTTGTCGTCATCATCATCATCATCATCATCATCATCATCATCATCATCATCATCATGTCCCAGGGGGTGGAAGAGGGTGCACAAATTAGATCAAGCCCTCTTGTGAAGTCAGTCAGTCAGTCAGTCGTCAGAATGAGGCAGTCATATTCTTAAAATATCCTTTATGTGTGTTTTGAAATGCCGTTACCCTAATGACAACAATGCATAAAATACAGCCATAATGCAGGCAGCGTCTAATTATAGTGAATTTGTTCTAACCTCCATCTAAACTCCCAAGATGCAATAACATAGCAATATCTGACATAATGCGAAAAAATGTTCACACAGCCATCTTACCTTGATGAAAGACACATTTGAGGGGAACTCCCCAGGCTGCGTGGTGGATGTTTCTGTTAGTGGAGGTGCAGCGATGGGCCCCCTGGAGATCCGTAGGGACACAGGGAAAGAGCAGCTCACAGAGTGATCAGCAGGGGGTGAATCACAATCTTCTTTCACTATTTTCTCTGTTTTGCTGTCCTGCCTCTGGGTCCCTGTCTCATCTGTGTGACAGGAGTCATTGTCATTTACAGCCTCCGCAGGGCCACTTTCTCCTTTCACCGGTTTCCCATTTTCATCCCTGCTCTCGGCTTCATTGTGCTTCTTTTCTGTGCCTGTGTGACTCTCATTTCCATTCCTCTCCTCCTGTTTAGTTGTCTTTTTCCCCTGCATTGCACGTCTGGCCTCTTGGGTCTGCAGCTCAGACAGATAATGTCTGATGTTCTTACGAGCTGCATGTACCAGACCACTGTCAATATCTAGGCCCAGTATGCGGGCAGGTCTTAGCATTTTGGCAATATAGAGTGTGAGGTGGCCTGAGTTGCATCCCAAGTCCAATACATCTTTACCTTCAAACCACTCTGGACGAAGCACACGTATACGTGGGTCTTCACTGCTGCCTGGGTTGCGGTAGCCATAATACTTGTTGTAGTTCCCATACTGGAACTTCTTCTGCGGTTCCTTCGCCTGGTTGTACGGCTGCTGGTGCTGGCGAAATCCCATACCTGATTTGGAACCACTCCTTGGTGTGTGAAATGAATTTTTTGTGCCCCCTGCACCACAACTCCTGTCTCCAGATCCTGACTTTGCAATGGGAGTAGAATGGGTCACAGGAGGCTCAATTTTGCCTGAGTTGCGCCTTCGCTTGCGCCTGCTTGTGTGCTGGTTAGGTCCCCCTGACAGGGAAGACGTGGAATCCTCCATCGATACAGATGTCATCTCGTCCTTGCAGCTGGCTGAGTTGTCAGCTGTGTGCTCATGGGAATCCTCTGTGACACTGGAGAAACTGTTGGACTCTTTGGAGACATCTAGTGCAGAACATGAGGCTAACATGCCTGAAGGCAGTGTGGAGGTGCCAGTTTTTGCCTCACTTTTTCCTGATTCTGAGAGGCTAAGCTGTGTTGAAATCCCACTACCACCACCACCACCTCCTCCTCCTCCTCCACCATGATGTCTGTTGCGGTGTCTTTTCCTTCCACCACTCTTGTAGGGGGACACCAAAAAGCTGCTGTCTGCGATCCCACTGTTGAGGTTCAGCGGATCTGTGATGTCTCTGGGGATGAGTATCTCCACAGGGTCTCGACTCTTCGCTGGCAGAGGGGAAGATTTGGGTGTCTCTGCATTCAGGGCTCTGTTGACGTCCTCATCCAGCAGACTGTTGAGATTCAGTGGGTCAAATATGTTGCCACCCAAGAGGAAGTTGGTGGGCAGGACGGAGTCACTCTCAGAGTTGGCCCTTCGTCTCCTCTTGCCAGAGGTCGGATGCTTGAAACTAGAGTTTGCCGTGTTGCGCCGCTTTGTTAGCTTTGTTTGTTGCTGTTGTTTGGAATGATGAAAGCTGTTTCTTCGATTGATGCTATTCTCGTGCCCTCTGGCTCTCTGTCCAGCACTGTCATGGAGGGTGAGCGCGTCGGTCGTGCTGGTGTGTTTTGGTGAGGCTGCAGTGCCTGGGACAGGACAAGCAGCTGCAAAGTCAGGGGTGGCTGCAGTTCCCTCCATCATCACAGACAGACTGCCGTAACCTCCAGTGCAATCTGAGAGCTGCAGAGATGAAGTTGAGCTGGCCCGTGGACTGCCAGTTTTTGCAGATTCCTCTTCAACAGACATCTTTTTTGATTTCCAGAGCTGATGAAGACATGGAAGTGTGTCTTGGTCTGAAAATCACAGAAAACTAAGTTTAAATAAAAAATGCATGACAGGAATTCTACAAATTCTTTTAAAAAAGGGGAACAGTGTTGCTGAAAATCAAGCGCTCCCCTGCAGTGGCACACACTCAGATCTGCTAAGTAAAGTCACTAAGTAGCCTAAGTTGGCAAACTTACTACTACGATATGCTTATGGGATTCTGTTAAGTCTAAGCACCTGTAGGGGTCAATGCAAACAACACCAGTGGTCAATCACTTTGTATTTACAGCTGATCGTGAATAAATAACCCTTTACTTCCCACTGTCATTTTCTAAAAACATTACTGCACTAATAGCAAAATCCCCCCTTTCAAACGCAGTGAGTCTCAAGGACTACACCGTTAGCAAGAGTGGTAATCTCAAGTCTCAAGAGTGTCTACTCAGGGGTTACTGACCTGAAAAGTTTGGGAGTCCCAGTGTTACCTAGTTAGCAAGCTAGCTCCTAGCTTCTCTATCGCGGGCCAGAGAACTGAAACGTCGAGTAAACGTTGAGCTCCTCTCCGGCCAAAAAAAGCGTTCTGAGACAAACAGTGAAGTACCCACCTCGATATGCTGCCGCCTGAACCCCACTAAAACCGCGAGTCGCACTCATGAAAGTGATACTAGCTCCCAGATGGTCACCTATAAGCGTGCAGTCACCAGTGTAGTCACCATCAAAATAACAGTCTCACCTCGCAGCTCTCCCCGCCTCCGGCCGGACTGTCACTACCCCGCACTCTCCCGACTCGAGCTAACGCTAGCGCGCAGCTAGCAGCTCACAAGTGTTCCTACGGCGGCGGTTAGCAGCGCCGACACGCAACTGTTCACGGCGCCGACTCTCCGCGCTGCTGTGTGTAGCACGGTAACGGCTCCTCTGCCCTCTCAAACTGCCTTGTCGACTTGTTCAGTCAACTCCTAGTCGGCCAGTGTCGGGCAGGTTGGTGAATAAATTATTCCATTCGCTGATAGAGTCGGCATGGCGGCGCATCCGGCCTCCGAGCTGTAGCCCAAGATGACTGGGGCGGAGATCCCTGACTGGTGCTCGCAAGGTGGTGAAGAGAACTCCTCTTTAGGATATTATAATGAGCTTCCCTACTGCTGGTTAATAGGCTATTAAGGCTGCGACTCGAGATTACGTCCCGTATCGATGGATAAGTCACTTAATTTTGTTCAGTTAATTGTTAAGTTTGGCTGGAAAGTGGAGAGAAGAACTTAATAATGCTACAACAGAAACAGGGGCGCCTCCAGAAATTTCCTACAGGGGTGGCAAGATGGCGCCACCGAGGATGTCGGGGTGGCACACAAAAACCACAGGCCTCAGCTGAATGCTAGGACTTCTAGGAACGCTACTTCAATTCAAGACTTAAGAACATGCATACTGACATACTTTGGTTTCCTGTTTTACAGTTAAATTGACTAATTGTTTGATCTGAGTAGACTAATACAGCTAGCAGTTTGTTATTTGGAGGACTACTGCTGAAAATAGCCCTAGAGGAGAGATCATGCAGTTTATTTAACCCCAGGCCATTTGATTTAGGTGACATGTATTGTTCTTTTTTTTTTTTTTACTTTTGAAGATTTAAAAAAAAAAACATAAAAAGGGGGACATTTGTCATGCATTTGGAACCAAAAAATATGTCAACTTATCAAAAAATGTATTTAACATAAAAGTCAATAATGAATACCAACAAATATTTTGCACATATTCTTTCTTGGGGTCCCTGAAATACCTTCTGTGTATGGCAACATGAAAGTCCTGAATAGGTTTAAGGGGGGGAAAAATCACCCATAGGCAAAACATCCATAGTTTATTTATGATTCCAACACTGATAATTCTGTCCATCTGTGATGATAGTTTATCTGATTACAGCCAATCATGGTACAACAAAATGTTATTAACTTTGATTAGAGAGCTCATTCTCAAATACATTCTTAAGCACAATAATGTCACTGCTGCAAATATGCTGATTTACCCAACAGAAAAACTTCATTTATTTTGACTCTACTAAGTGAATCAGACTTTTACAGTAAAAGAACATTGAGCTGTGATGCTGAGGATTTAGCAATATAACTAAGGAACAAACTGCAGATAATAAATGGACTTTGTGCGTGACAGCTCACCTGTCTGAGGTAAAGAAAAGTACACCTTGTCAGTTACTGTTGACTGATCCAGTCTGAATGTCCAGGATAATTTATACTTCTAAGTAATTATTAAAATTACTTCTGTTGTTCCACATGTGTTTACAACGCCCTTCATTTGGACATGTGCTGCTGTTTGATGTTGCAAATTCAGAGGACAAACAGCTGGAGGCAACAAACTGACCTTCAGTTAATGTTTCTTTTGTTTGTCTGCGCGTTGCCCCCGTTAACGAAAGGCAGTACAGCCGAATGGTTAGAGCTACATCATAGTATAGAAATGTACAGTCTATGTGCTATGCAGAGCTGTTAGTCATCTAATGGTGCTGTCAATTGGACTCGGACACAGTTGCATTCACTGAAACTTGGATATCGGAGTTTCAGTGAATGAGCTTGACCTATCAGATCCAGAGGGGGCAATGAGATGTCAGGGGTGGCCATACATATTTTAAACCATCAATTCAAATTCATTGACAGTTAATTTA